GGTCGCGTGTGGCAAGGTCCGTGTGTATTATGACTGCACAGTCGCGGAGTTGTCCAGCCGAGAGCAGATTGAAGCGGAGATTCGGGACGTAGAGCACGTCGTTGAATGAGATGTGAGTGTTGCCGTCTCGTGCTTGCAGAACGACGATGCCTTGTGAATTGGCGCGCAACTGCTCGTTGTTGGCGACGGTGCCATAAATTATGGGGGCGTGACTCAGGTTCGAGACGTATCGCGTGGATCCCACCATGTGCTGTCCGCAGCAGCTATTCAGGTACCAGGTGTTGTAGTAGTCGGTGTTGTTCCTGCGCAGAAGTAGCGCCAGTCGCGGAGTTACCAGGGTTGCCTTGTAGCACATGTGGAAGGAGGGGTCTTCGTCTTCCTTCCATCCCACTGGTACGTATAGCTGTTTGTCGTGTGGCGGGCTTTCTCGCAATGTGATCGACTAATTCCAATCTTGCTCATCTTCGTCGTACAGGTAATAGTGATCTTCAGTAAGGGGATTATTCCAACCCTCTTCTAGCTCAAGGAGTCGTCCTTGGATCTCGTTTTTCTCGTCAGGTTCAGCAGTGCGATGACGTCGCGTCGCCATGTTGGCGATGATGTTCCTGATTGGGATCCTTGGAGCTCCTGATTGGGATCCTTGGAGCTCCTGATTGGGATCCTTGAGTTTGCTGATGTTGATGCTGTGCAGGAGGACGAGATGTCTGGTGCCGAGGCTGAGAATGACGAGCGTCTTGTCGGCCGACCCAGTTGTTGTGGTAAGTGGAATTTGGGTGGCGGAAGTTGGATCGGGATTTGCATCGATCCGTTGAGTGTCCGAAGACTTTGCATATTTTGCAATAATGGTGCCTTGGTTGTCGTCGTTCTTCTCGGTTGTCTGCGTAGAAGGCAAGGCGCTCTCGGCGCGGCGCGGAGTAGCGCTTTGTAGGGCTTCCACTCTGGCCCGAGTCCTTGAAGGACTATGTTGACGAAAATCTCTTCCGAGATTGTACTCCCATGTTTCGTGATCTGGTCACGGATGTTGCGACAGCAGTTAATATACGAATTCGCTTTCTCCCCGTGCCCCATCTTTATCTCAAAAAGTTGCTGCAGAAGCCTGCTGGCGGTGACCGAATCCTTCGGCTGGTAAACTTCAACGAGGTGCTTCCAAGCTTCCAAGGCTGGAGCGTCGTGTCAAAGTCTTAGCTTGGCTAAGGAGCCATAGCTAGTTGAGTTCGAGTGAGTTGAGTTAGAGTCGAGAGAATTGAAAAGAGAAGGAGGGTTTTCACTAAAGAGCGAGCAGTACATATAGGCAAGATTGATGAAAGGCAAATGGTACACCACCTAGCAGGAAACTAAGATAACTACAGTAGGCTACTGTAGGCATTTATATGAAAGTATGCAAATACATTTCAACACACCCCCTAAATGCCTACAGTGGAAACCCGTGTGTAGCACAAAGTCTGCAGGGGTACAAGGTGCAATGGAAGAAACAGAAACAAGCAAGAGCAGGAGTAGCTGGAAGTGGTGACAACCAGTGCAGAAAGAAGAGAGAACAGAAGGGAGAGAGGAGGAATGAGGAGGCGGCTGCGGCTGGTGCTGAAGCCACGCTCCCACCACCCCCTCACCCTCCCCCTCCCCCTCCCACTGCTGCAGGAGCAGCAGAGGGGGGGGGGGGGGCAAACAGAGGAGGATGGGGCCGTAGGGCCAGGGGACCACACATCACCCATCACCCCCACACCCGCCACCCCCAGTCCCTCCCCGGGCTCCCCACAGTCTCACACCCTCCCCCCCAGCGGCAGCTGCAACAGAGGGAACAGAAGGAGGAGGAGAAAGGGGGGGGGGGAAGGGGGGGTGGGGGGCCGACGCACGGCCTCCCCGGGCGCCAAAGCAAGCGGCAGAGGGGGCGACGACTCCCCCTCCCTTTCAGGTCGCAAGCGGCCCCCTCAGGTCGCCTCGACAGGTGACGGGAAGAAGGGGGGGGGCGGGACCGCAAGTGGGCGACGAGGCCGCAAGGGTGGGCGGGGCCGCAGGTGGCGACGGGGCCTCAGTTGGCGGAGCCGCAGGCGACATCGGGGCCGGGGCCGAGGGCGGCGACGGGGCCGCAACAGAGGGCGGCGAGGCCGCTTATGAGGGCGGCGGGGCCGCGAGAGTAGGTGGCGGCGGGGCCGCGATAGTAGGTGGCGGCGGGGTAGCGAGAGAAGGGGCGGCGAGGGCCGCGAAAGCAGGGGCGGCGAGGGCCACGAAAGCAGAGGCGGCAGGGCCGCGAGAGCAGAGGCCGCGGGGCCGCGAGAGTAGGGGCCGCGGGGTCGCACGAGCCGGGGCCGCAGGGCCGCTACAGCAGGGGCGGCGGGGCCGCTTGAGTAGGGGCCGCGGGGCCGCGACAGCAGGGGCGACGGGGCCGCTTGAGCAGGGACCGCGGGGCCGCGACAGCAGGGGCGACGAGGCCGCGACAGCAGGGGCGACGGGGCCGCTTGACCAGGGGCCGCGGGGCCGCGACAGCAGGGGCGACGGGCCGCTTGAGCAGGGACCGCGGGGCCGCGACAGCAGGGGCGACGCGGCCGCGACAGCAGGGGCGACGGGGCCGCGACAGTAGGGCGGCGGGGCCGAAAAAAGGAATAAAAGTAGGACGGCGGGGCCGCGACAGTAGGGCGGCGGGGCCGCGACAGTAGGGCACACCACGGGGCGTGCAGAACACTTAGTAGCAGCGGAAGCAGGGGTCCAGGAGCGTTACGTGCTCTGTACCATGTCAAAGTCTTAGCTTGGCTAAGGAGCCATAGCTAGTTGAGTTCGAGTGAGTTGAGTTAGAGTCGAGAGAATTGAAAAGAGAAGGAGGGTTTTCACTATAGAGCGAGCAGTACATATAGGCAAGATTGAAGAAAGGCAAATGGTACACCACCTAGCAGGAAACTAAGATAACTACAGTAGGCTACTGTAGGCATTTATATAAAAGTATGCAAATACATTTCAACACGTCGCTCTCTTTGTAGGAGCGAATGTTGAGTTGTTCCGCAGGCGTCATGTTGCATAGCAGCACGCTGTAGGCCATGAGACACTCGCTGTAGTACTGAGCTCTGGCGACTTCGGTGTTTTCCACCGGTTTAGGGTAGGAGCCGTTGAAGTAATGGTAGATCTGCGCCGTTTGTAGGAGGAGCTCAAGCTCGAAACTCCATGTGTAGAAGTCTTTACCGTCAAACGCGGCAGTAGTTTTGTTTTTTGAAACGCTAAGGAAGCGTGTTTGTGCAGAGTTGATAGCTTCATCACTTGGACGGGGTGCAGTTGTTGTTGATTTGTCTGTGTCGAGGGAGAAGGTATGCGCGGCGGTATCATGGCTTTTCACAGCCGGTTGTCCAGGTTGTACTGGTTGGGAAGAGGTTCCCGCATCGCCTTTGCGCAGGTCTTGGAGTTCTTTCTCCCTAGTTGAAAGTCGAGCGAAAAGTTGCTCGAGAGCGGCAGTGCCAATCGTGGTTGTCGCCTCATTTGTCACAGCCGGGTTGGTTTGTCCTTCAGACGTCGGATTTGCTTGGCCTCCGAATCCTCCGGCCATCTTGGTCTTGGAGCGTGTGCCGTTCGTCAGATCTTGGTTCGGCGAATTTCATGGAAATGAAGTTGCAAAGAATCCATGAGTGGCTCTCATACCATGTTACAATCCCAAGTGGGACTTAGCAAAGGATCGTTCAGGGTTGATCGCAGAGTAGTGTTGCAGCGGAAGTTTGAATCTCAAGTCAGAGTGAATGTAAATGACTGAGTTAATAATAACATGCATACATCGAGTTTATATAAGAATACAGGGGAATACGAAAAGACCTAGACCAGCCAAGTACTTTAAAGGGTACATTTTCTTATTACAACAATTTCAAACCGTGCTGCGCGGGAACCCGTTTTGAACATGTTCCCGCTCTTTTCACTTCAAATGTTTCTGCCTGCATCGGTCTTGATCACACGGTTGCTGCGTCGCTTCGACTCGTCTGACTCCTCGACTTCGTACTCGGTAGAGTCGGCTCCTGCAGCATACAGGAATGCCTTCTCATAAACTTCATATCGTAACAGATATTGCAACCCACTTTACAGAAAAAATAAAACCCAATCGGAAAGGGATGCGACTCGGGAGGCATCAACCTTAAAAACAATTCCCATTTCCTTGTTTAGGGTTGACTCTTTTCGAAAATGCATCCAAGTTCCCTAGGGGTTTTATTTGTTTTCTGCCATGCCCGAATAGTTCTGGGTAGCGTCGTCTAGTGCTTTCGGTAGCGTTGTTTAGCGGTCGGTTGCGCTACTGAGCACTACCAAGTGAATTATATGGGCTTCATTCTCTTACTACCTAAATTTCCGTACTTGTATCCAAGTCGGGAGGGTAAACTAGCTGGTTCTGTTTTTGTCACTTCCCAATGAGTTCAACCAGCGAGAAATGTGATTATACCGCGACAACCAATCAACGTTGAGAAAGTCCAGGTTGATTACACCTGAGAACGCGCTCAGACAAAATCTGAGTATCGGAGATAATGGCCGAGTTGGTTTTGTAATTGAGTTCTTCCAAACGGAAAACCATGGAGCTGGAGGTCTCCATGTGAAATTCGTGCAATCAAAACTTACCACCTGTCCAGAAAGCCGGTACAGCCGCACTTTCACGGCGCTCATTTCATCACACAGCCCGGCAAGCTCTCCGCAGTGTGTCCCCGGCGCCCCCTTTCCGCGCACTCCTCGGGATTGGCCGTCTTCTTCATCGGACGGCTGAGATGCACTCGACACTTTTCAAGCACCCATTGCACTTCCTCGATTCTGCCTGACCCGATCCTCCATGGCGGTTTGACGACCTTCGGGGAACTGGAATTTACTTCAGACGAAGCGTTCTCCTTGAGATTCGATTATTCCTCCAGTCTCACTCACAGAGCCATCCAGTTTCACGAATGCACCAGTTCCCTGCCTCCTCGTCCCCTGAGACTCCGCGGCCCGTCCTGGTGTCAGTAATAACCGCTGAATCTCCACCGTTTGTGCGGCAACGCGCAAGAAGCCGCTCTCCTATGGTAGAGTCGTTAGCGTCGCCACTGATTGGCCCATGCTCTAGCGACGCTGTTTCCAGCAAGGGAAAGGTAAATTCGAATTCAAGCATGGGCTGAAGTCGCGGTGACGTTGCTCGGCGATCCTAATCCTGTTATTCCACTGCCAGGCGTCGCGGTGCCGCGCGCAACCAGCGATGGGGTCGCAATTATCGGGGGAAAAGGAGCGCCTCACGCAGGGAGCTCCGCTTTCGCATGAGGTGCCCGCGATCTTGTCCCGCAATCCGACCGCACAGTCCTTTACTAGGCCGTTTTCCCGTTCGACGACCTAATATCGCAATACTTGGTTCTCCTAGTTAAAATCGTCCGTTACTGAGCCGATTAGCGTTATTGCGCGTCCGTGTGTGCGGCAGGATTCGGCGCACGAGCAGTTTGAGAAGAGTCACGGGCCGCACGGCCAGAAGCTGACGCTGCTGCCGCTCATCGCGCTCATCTTCTTCGAGGTCAGCCAAGCACCATGGCAGGGCACGATTGTTTATTTGATGGGACGAGAGGTTAGGTTTGCATTTCATGCGTGTTCAGACGAAGGCAAAAGCTCTTCATTTGTACTCCTTACATTACTTTTGCTTCTTCTCCCCTTTTCTTGATATTGTTCTCCCGTCTTCTCGTTTCCGTTCGTGCGTGCAGGTGTCCGGCGGGCCATACGGCGTGGAGGACGCCGTGAAGTACGGCGGGCCTCTGCTTGCCATCCTAGGCTTCACCGTCTTCCCCCTCGTGCGCACTGCCTCTCGCCTCCGCACCCTCCCCACCTTCCGCAACTTTCATCTCTCATTTCCACCAACCACGCACGCATCTCGCACCAACCCCCTCACAGCACATCCATTTGACTTCTCCCCTTGGGCAGTGTTCCATGTCAGACGCCAATCCACCACCACTCACTCCCATCACCCACCCTCCTTCACCGCTTGCCATTCGCTTTCCTTCCTCCCATCACCCCTTCACTACTCACTATCCACTCCATTCCCCCTTCCCTCTCCTCCCCCCTTCTTCCCCCTCCCCTCCTCCCCCTTCCCGCTCCGCCACTCCCCATTCCCTGCTCCGCTATTTCCCACTTCCCCCATGCACACCCTTCAGATCTGGAGCGTGCCAGAGGCCCTGACCACCGCAGAGCTAGGAACAGCCTTCCCGGAGAACGGGGGCTACGTGGTGTGGGTGTCAGCGGCGTTTGGCCCCTTCTGGGGCTTCCAGGAGGGGTGGTGGAAGTGGCTGAGTGGCGTGATAGACAACTCGCTCTACCCGCTGCTCTTCCTCGACTACTTGAAGCGCGAGCTCCCTGTGTTTGGCGGAGGCCTGCCTCGCATGGCGGCACTGCTTGCCATGACTCTGGTGCGTCTTGGTCTGGTTTGACCTGATGCTGCGTCTACTCGCCATTTCCCCTCCCTGGTGCTTGAGCATCACTCCCTTGTCACCACTCCGTTTCTTGACGCCAGCCCAGCAGGCGACCCAAGTCTATTTCTCTGACCCAATTCCCCAGTTCAGCTGCTCACTATGTGAAGTACCAGGCGATCTTTGAGGCGTTCTGAAACTTGAGCCCTCCTCAATCCTTCCTCTCTGGGACTGTCCCCCTTCCGCCCTGCCAGGTGCTGACGTACGTGAACTACCGCGGGCTGACGATAGTGGGCGCCACTGCCATCGCGCTGGCAGTGTTCGGGCTGCTGCCCTTTGTGGTGATGGCGCTGCTCGCCATCCCCAAGATCCAACCCGCCCGCTGGTCCGTCATTGGGGGGGGAAGAGGGGGGGGAGAGTTGTTGGTTGGTGAGTTGCAGGGTTGGCTGGTGGGGGGAGGAGAGGGGATGGTAAGGAAGGTGGTGCTGCCCTTCGTGGTCATGGCGCTGCTCGCCATCCCCAAGATCCAACCCGCCCGCTGGTCCGTCATTGGGGGCAGGGGGCTTGGTTGCTGGGCAGCAGGGTTGGTTGGGAGGGAACAGGAGGGGAAGGGAATGGCAGGAAAGGGCGGGTGAGGTCATGGGAGGGCAGTTGATGGCAGCGGAGGGCAGGAGGCGAGTGGGGGGAAGAGGGGGGGGAGAAGGGAGGGGTGGGAAGGGAAGGGAAGGGAAGGGGAGAAGATCATAGGAGGGGTGGTGGGAATGATCACGCGAATCCTCATGCTGCTCCACCAGCAGGTTGCAGGAACTTCCCAGCCCTGCGTATAATTCTTGGATCACTGTTTTGCGGGATGCTTGCGAGGGTGTATGGGTGTGCGTGCATGGGTGGCATTGCAGGCTGGTGGTGGATCTGAACCGCGTGCAGTGGCGGGGGTACTTCAACACACTCTTCTGGAACCTCAACTACTGGGACTCCGTCAGGTGGGTGCTCCATCAAGAAAGCTTCTCTAAACTGCTGGAACTCTCTACCGTAGGGACTCTATATATGTTGGAGTTGCTTTTGAGTCGTCTCAGAAGCAATTTCATGAGGTGTGGACTCACTCAGCCAGGTGGGAGTCGCTGTTGACTTGTTTCACCCAGGCTGACTTGTTTCACCCAGGCTGTCTTGTTTCACCCAGGCTGTCTTGTTTCACCCAGGCTGACTTGTTTCACCCAGGCTGTCTTGTTTCACCCAGGCTGTCTTGTTTCACCCAGGCTGTCTTGTTTCACCCAGGCTGTCTTGTTTCACCCAGGCTGTCTTGTTTCACCCAGGCTGTCTTGTTTCACCCAGGCTGACTTGTTTCACCCAGGCTGTCTTGTTTCACCCAGGCTGTCTTGTTTCACCCAGGCTGACTTGTTTCACCCAGGCTGTCTTGTTTCACCCAGGCTGTCTTGTTTCACCCAGGCTGTCTTGTTTCACCCAGGCTGTCTTGTTTCACCCAGGCTGTCTTGTTTCACCCAGGCTGACTTGTTTCACCCAGGCTGTCTTGTTTCACCCAGGCTGTCTTGTTTCACCCAGGCTGTCTTGTTTCACCCAGGCTGTCTTGTTTCACCCAGGCTGACTTGTTTCACCCAGGCTGACTTGTTTCACCCAGGCTGTCTTGTTTCACCCAGGCTGTCTTGTTTCACCCAGGCTGTCTTGTTTCACCCAGGCTGACTTGTTTCACCCAGGCTGTCTTGTTTCACCCAGGCTGTCTTGTTTCACCCAGGCTGTCTTGTTTCACCCAGGCTGTCTTGTTTCACCCAGGCTGTCTTGTTTCACCCAGGCTGTCTTGTTTCACCCAGGCTGTCTTGTTTCACCCAGGCTGTCTTGTTTCACCCAGGCTGTCTTGTTTCACCCAGGCTGTCTTGTTTCACCCAGGCTGTCTTGTTTCACCCAGGCTGTCTTGTTTCACCCAGGCTGTCTTGTTTCACCCAGGCTGTCTTGTTTCACCCAGGCTGACTTGTTTCACCCAGGCTGTCTTGTTTCACCCAGGCTGACTTGTTTCACCCAGGCTGTCTTGTTTCACCCAGGCTGTCTTGTTTCACCCAGGCTGTCTTGTTTCACCCAGGCTGTCTTGTTTCACCCAGGCTGTCTTGTTTCACCCAGGCTGTCTTGTTTCACCCAGGCTGTCTTGTTTCACCCAGGCTGTCTTGTTTCACCCAGGCTGTCTTGTTTCACCCAGGCTGTCTTGTTTCACCCAGGCTGTCTTGTTTCACCCAGGCTGTCTTGTTTCACCCAGGCTGTCTTGTTTCACCCAGGCTGTCTTGTTTCACCCAGGCTGTCTTGTTTCACCCAGGCTGTACTTGTTTCACCCAGGCTGTCTTGTTTCACCCAGGCTGTCTTGTTTCACCCAGGCTGTCTTGTTTCACCCAGGCTGTCTTGTTTCACCCAGGCTGTCTTGTTTCACCCAGGCTGTCTTGTTTCACCCAGGCTGTCTTCCTTGCTGCTTTCAACCTTCCTCATCATCAACCCTCCTTTCTGCATCCTCTCCACCCTCTCCTGCTGACTGTGCGTCATTCTGGGTGAACGCACCGCACACCCCCCACCCAACCCCCTCCCCCTTTCCCCCCGTCCCTCCCCATCCTGCCCTGCACAGCACGCTAGCAGGCGAAATAGAGGAGCCGAAGCGCACCTTCCCGCGGGCGCTGATGGGGGCGGTGGTGCTGGTGGTGGTGTCGTACCTCGTGCCCCTGCTTGCAGGCACAGGCGCCGTGCCATTCTCCCCGGACGGCTGGGACGACGGGTATCTGGCCGTGGTGGGTCGCGTCATCGGGGGCGGCTGGCTCGCCTGGTGGATTGCTTGTGCCGCTGCGCTGTCCAACATGGGCGCATTTGAGGCGGAGATGAGCAGGTGTGTGCGTTTGGGGGGGAGATGTGCACGTCGGGGGCGGGAATTGATCCTTGAGTTGAGTGAAATGTCACGGGGGGGCCGGCTGGCTGGTTGGTCTGGTGGGTTGTGTGTGCGGCTGGCTGGTTGGTCTGGTGGGTTGTGTGTGCGGCTGGCTGGTTGGTCTGGTGGGTTGTGTGTGCGGCTGGCTGGTTGGTCTGGTGGGTTGTGTGTGCGGCTGGCTGGTTGGTCTGGTGGGTTGTGTGTGCGGCTGGCTGGTTGGTCTGGTGGGTTGTGTGTGCGGCTGGCTGGTTGGTCTGGTGGGTTGTGTGTGCGGCTGGCTGGTTGGTCTGGTGGGTTGTGTGTGCGGCTGGCTGGTTGGTCTGGTGGGTTGTGTGTGCGGCTGGCTGGTTGGTCTGGTGGGTTGTGTGTGCGGCTGGCTGGTTGGTCTGGTGGGTTGTGTGTGCGGCTGGCTGGTTGGTCTGGTGGGTTGTGTGTGCGGCTGGCTGGTTGGTCTGGTGGGTTGTGTGTGCGGATGGGCTTTCCCGCATGAGCACGCTTGAGGTGGACATGAGTGGGTGGACTTTCCATATGGCACCAGTAGTTCTGCACTCTCTTATCCCACCACCAGTAGTTCTGCACTCTCTTATCCCACCACCAGTAGTTCTGCACTCTCTTATCCCACCACCAGTAGTTCTGCACTCTCTTATCCCACCACCAGTAGTTCTGCACTCTCTTATCCCACCACCAGTAGTTCTGCACTCTCTTATCCCACCACCAGTAGTTCTGCACTCTCTTATCCCACCACCAGTAGTTCTGCACTCTCTTATCCCACCACCAGTAGTTCTGCACTCTCTTATCCCACCACCAGTAGTTCTGCACTCTCTTATCCCACCACCAGTAGTTCTGCACTCTCTTATCCCACCACCAGTAGTTCTGCACTCTCTTATCCCACCACCAGTAGTTCTGCACTCTCTTATCCCACCACCAGTAGTTCTGCACTCTCTTATCCCACCACCAGTAGTTCTGCACTCTCTTATCCCACCACCAGTAGTTCTGCACTCTCTTATCCCACCACCAGTAGTTCTGCACTCTCTTATCCCACCACCAGTAGTTCTGCACTCTCTTATCCCACCACCCTCATCTCCATTGCTCATCTCCCATGCCACTCCCTCTTTCTCGCAACTGCATGTATACAGCACTACTGCCCCATACTCTCCCACCCACCCTCCCTCCCTCCCTCCCTCGACGTACACTCGCAGCGATGCGTTTCAGCTGCTGGGAATGGCGGAGCGGGGCATGCTGCCCGAGGTCTTCACGTACCTCCCCCCCTCCCCCCCTCCGCCCTCCCTCTGTCCCTCTCTCCCCCCTCCCCCCCCCCTCCCCCCCTCCTCCCCCCCCCTCCCCCCCCCCACCCCCCCCCCCCTCCCCCCCCCCTCCCCCCCCCTCCCCCCCCCCCTCCCCCCCCCCCCCTCCCCCCCCCTCCCCCCCCCTCCCCCCCCCTCCCCCCCCTCCCCCCCCTCCCCCCCCCTCCCCCCCCCTCCCCCCACGCAGCGACGCGTTTCAGCTGCTGGGGATGGCGGAGCGAGGCCTGCTGCCCGAGGTCTTCACGTACCGGTCGCGGCACGGCACGCCCGTGCTGGGCATCGTGTGCAGCGCCACGGGCATCGTGCTGCTGTCGTGGATGAGCTTTCAGGAGATCGTCGAGTTCCTCAACTTCCTCTACTGCTTCGGCATGCTGCTTGAGTTTGCCGCCTTTGTGGCGCTCCGGGTCACGCAGCCTGACCTGAACCGGCCGTACAGGTATGCACTCGTGCGCTCTCAACCATCCACATTGCTCCAATCAGCTGTGCTTTCACAACACGTCCCCAGTGTTTTTCTCTTCCCCTGGTTATCCAGATGTGGTCTAAATTTGGATTTGGCTGCGATTCGTGTCTCCCACGTTTCCCTTCACGTTTTTTTTTCTTCCATGCTCGCTCCTCCCTGACCACGAATGGCCACCGCTGCTTCGCCCTCTCACTGCTTCTCTCTCCCATGCGCTGCCTCTCACCCCACAGGGTCCCCGTGGACACCATGGGAGCAGCGCTGCTGTGCCTGCCGCCCTCCCTGCTGCTCGTTCTCGTCATGGCCCTCGCGTCCTGGCAGACAGTCATTGTCAGGTGAGGTTTGCGGTGTGGGTGTGGGTGTGGGTGTGGGTGTGGGTGTGGGTGTGGGCGTGGGCGTGCGTGTGGGTGTGGGCGTGAGGTGTGAGGTGTGTTACGAGTCAAATCGGAACGCGCATGGGAGCAGCACTCTTCTCGTCATGGCCCTCGCGTCCTGGCAGGCCGTCATTGTCAGGTGAGATTTGCAGTGTGGAGCGTCAGGTGTGGGGCGTGGGATGGAATGTGTGGGGTGTAGGCTGGGATGTGGGAGGTGGGAGGTGTGAGATGTTGAGGCATGAGGCGTGAGGTGGGAGATATGTGATGTTCCTCATCGAGAGGTGTGGATTCGCCATTGCTAGCTGCCCAACCCACCGTCCCGACACGCACTCTCTCGCGCTGCCGCAACCTCCTCTTGATCCCACTCCCGGAGCACATCCTCCCTTGTTACCTGCCCACCCCCATCCGTCCCGACACACGCTCTCTCGCACACCTCCAACCCCGCGCCCCCCCCTGATCTGACTCCCGGAGCTTCCGTCCCACCATTGTCTGCTTCTCCATGCATCTTTCCGTCCCGATTTCATGCCCCTGGCAGCTCCATAGCAGCCTTGCTGGGTCTGCTGCTCCCACTGCTCATGATGGGACCTTCAATCCGAAAATCTTACCCACCCCTTCTTGCTTACTCCTCCATGCACCTTGCCGCCCCCCTGCCCCATCGTCCTGCCAGCTCCATAGCAGCTGTGGTGGGGCTGCTGATGTACCCGCTGCTCATGTGGGCGAAGCACCACGGCGTGCTCAAGTTCACTCAGGACCCGGGCCTGCCAGACGTGGCTCTCATGGACGAGGATGACGGCAGTGAGGGCGAGGGCGGGTTTGATGGGGCGGCAGGCAAGGGAGGGATGGGGAAGGAGGACGGTGGGGCTGGTGTGCAGGATTGGGTTGATGGGGATGGTGCTGTGGCTGACAGTGAGAATGGGTTGCTGCTGGGGAAGGAGGGGAGGGAGAAGGGGAGCAGCAAGGTGGTGCCAGCGGAGTGTCCGGGGAAGTCTGATGGATCGCTGCGAGCAGGTGCAGGTGATGTGGTGCTCTCAGCATGTGAGGGACAGTCGCCTCCTGTCTTGGTGGGATCGTTGCCTAGTGATGGGCTGCTTGCGCACCAAGATGGGCTGTCTGGAGGTGGAGCGAATGCAAGCCAAGAGCAACAAGGTGGAGTTAAATCTGAGGCAGCTTCTGAATCGGACAGCATGCTGCTGTTGGGAGATTCTGGAGGTCGCAGATAGCATTGCTTTATTGTGATGGTATTCTGGAACTGGCGCTCATATTGTATAAATTGTATTTGTAGTGTGTGCTGCTGCCTTAATGTAAGTGCATATGCGTTGAACCTCGACGCCAACTCGCGGATTATGATCCCACGCATCGCGATTCGCGGCTCGCCAATTCACAAATGTCGTCATGTAATTGCAAATGGGCATTTTGGCCCCTCCCCCTCGTACACTCACCTCGTCCCTCATGTGATCATATGTCCACCCACATTTCGCCTCCAACCATCCCACCAACCCAATCCCCACCACGTGCACATCCGACGTCACATTCTCACATGCATGCACGCCATTCTGCGGGCGCTTCCGCTCGCACGCTGCTGGAGCAGCTCTTTCGGGGTAAGCCGTGAACCATCTCCCGATCTACCTCCCCGGGAGGGAGATCAGGTTCTTGACTCCTCGACCTGCTGCATATAGTGATCAGCTTCCTTCGCAAGCGTGCGACGCTGTGTTTTCCTGTCCGTCCTGTCCGTCAACGCCATTCTGCGCTACTTTCCGCGCCGTGCTATCCAAATCGCTCTCGCGAGCGCATTGCAACGTCATCATGGCGGCGCACAAGTCGTTATCGACGGGTGGGGAGGCGGCCTCAGAGTTCTCGGACGTCCCCGGCGGGGCGAAGAGCGTGACGACGAGGGTGATGGAGACGGGCGCGAGCGCCGTGCAGCAGTTCGGCCCCATCCGCCAGATCGGCCAACACCTCTGCGCGTCAGTGCTCTAGCTTACCCTAAAGGACCCTAAACCGGTCTTGGCTGCGTAACCTTCAAGGTTTAGAAAAAATATTTGGCCCCTTTGCTTGCTCGGATAGTACACGCTCGAGTCTCCTTGCAGAACCATCAATCTCGTCCGACTACTTGCGTTGCTGTCTTTGAGATGAGTTTGGGATGAGCCGTGGCCACCATGCGATTATACGAACAGCCTAATGATGCACTGTTGCCCATTCCCGCCTACCACCCCCCGCCATGTTCCACTACTACGCGAATGACATGTCGCGACAAGCGAGGCGCACCTCTACTGCTCGTACGTCAGAGGGCGTGCACCAGTGCCTCCTCTACGACTCCTTGATCAGCCCCCCTCATGCAACCATGCAAACAGCCTATCCGTGTACTGTTCTTCGTTGTCCCCCTACCGTCCACCCCACCAGGTTCCACTATTATGCCAACGACATGTCGCGACAAGTCGAGGCGCACCACTACTGCTCGCACGTCAGCGAGGACGTGCACCAGTGCCTCGTCTACGACTCCGACCAGCCCTCCGCGCGCCTCATCGGTGTCGAGTTCATCGTCTCAGAAAAGATCTTCCTGTCTTTGCCTGAGGACGAGCAGCGCATGTGGCACTCGCACGAGTATGAGGTCAAAAGCGGGCTGCTCATCATGCCGGGCATGCCGGCAGTAGCAGAGCTGCCTGTGATGAGCAAGCTCGTGAAGACGTTTGGCAAGACGTGGCACTTCTGGCAGTTTGATAGGGGAGACACACTGCCGCTGGGTGTGCCGCAGCTCATGGGGGCGTTCTTTGCTGACGGGCAGCTGAAACCCGAACTGCCTAAAGGTGTGCTGCTGGTTTGTTATGAAGTAGGCCCGTGCTTGCCACTGATGCTGGCCGTCATTCACCCTTCCCTTCTAGCGAACTCTCAGATTTCTACCATTCCCTCACTCCACTCGTGCGCACTCCCTGTCTTCTGTTTTCTCTGCCCTCTGCCATCTCTCTCGCTCTCATTTTCCCCTCCTCCCTGGCTGCAGCGGTGGAGCAGCGGTATGGGGTGCAGCTGGAGGAGAGGCGGCAGCTGCGAGCTGACCTTACAGGCCCTGAGCTCGCTGTGGATCGCTTAGCGCAGCAGTTTAAAAGGGGGATGGGGTATGAGACACAGCTCAAGGAGTGCCAGCTGGACGGGCAGGAGCGGATGGCAAAGGGAGGCGTGGGTGCCGCAAGTGTGACTGGTGTGGGCAGTGGTGGCATGGAGCATGTGGGGCAGGCAGGGACAGGCACTACAGGCAGCGACTGCAAGGCCAGGATTGGTGGCTGAGTGAAGAGGTGTTGAGGTTGAGAGGATGCTTCTTGGTCTTGGTGGTAGTTGGCTCCGAGGCAGATATATACCGTACATACCTGTATGTTATACTTGTACATACCATGTGATTAGATAATTAGTGTTGTAACAGAAGGTGTGGCGCTTCAGCTTGAAAGCTCTTGGCATGCCACTTGAGTGTTGCTTGCACTGAGTGCTTTTCGTACAAACACATTGCAGCCCATGACCCCTCTACCCAGGCAACACTATCACCACTCACATTGCACTGACAGCAGCAGTTGCAGCAGTGCACTGACACACACACCCAAACACACCACACCTTGCTCACATGCTCAGGTGTTGGTGCAGGTAGGCAGACGGGCAAGGAAGCATTTGACTTTGAAGGGCGTGATACGGCGCAGGTGCGGGTGTGGGTAACTGAGCGCCCAGAAGCCCACCTTTTGAGATGCCTCAAGAGTTGAAAGTAGATGGTGTGGGCGCGGGTGGGAGGGCGAGCAAGGAAGGACTTGAGCTTGGCGAGCAAGGAAAGACTTGAGCTTGGCGAGCAAGGAAGGACTTGAGCTTGGTGAGCGGCGCAGCTGCAGGTGCCTGAGTGCCAGAAGTCCGCCCTTTGAGGTGCCTCAGAAGTCGTCAGTAAATGGTGTCGGCGCGCGTGGGCAGGCGAGCGAGGAAGCATTTGACCTTGGTGGGCGTGATGCGGCGCAGGCGCGGGTGTCTCATCGCCCAGAAGCCCGCTGCTAGCGCCACGGGGCGGAAGGGCAGCAGCAGCAGCACAGCCATGAGCGCCGTGCACGCTGACATGAGCAGGAACGTGGCTCTGAGGGGTTGGGAAAGGGAGCAGGGGTGGTTTGGGTGGGATGAACAGAGAGGGGCATCACGGAGGCTCAAAAGAGCAGCAGCAGCATGAGCGCTGCGCACGGTGACATGAGCAGGAGTGTGGCCCTGAAGCGAAGGGAGGGGAAGACTTGTGGTGGGGGTGAGGGTGGAGGGGTAATGAGGGAGAGATGATGAGGGAGAAGGCATTGGTTAGACCTCACCTTGGATCTCGCCACGTCAGCAGCATCTCTATCTTCTCTGCTGCGTCAGCAATGACCCCAAGGCCCCGTTGCACCCTCCCTGCACCGTCCATGAGCTTGTCGTACTTGGCCCTCAGGGCCTGTGGCGGGCAGAGCAGCACAGAGCAGAGCAGCGCAGAGCAGAGCAGAGCAGAGCAGAGCAGAGCAGAGCAGAGCAGAGCAGAGCAGAGCAGAGCAGAGCAGAGCAGAGCAGAGCAGAGCAGAGCAGAGCAGAGCAGAGCAGAGCAGAGCAGAGCAGAGCAGAGCAGAGCAGAGCAGAGCAGAGCAGAGCAGAGCAGAGCAGAGCAGAGCAGAGCAGAGCAGAGCAGAGCAGAGCAGAGCAGAGCAGAGCAGAGCAGAGCAGAGCAGAGCAGAGCAGAGCAGAGCAGAGCAGAGCAGAGCAGAGCAGAGCAGAGCAGAGCAGAGCAGAGCAGAGCAGAGCAGAGCAGAGCAGAGCAGAGCAGAGCAGAGCAGAGCAGAGCAGAGCAGAGCAGAGCAGAGCAGAGCAGAGCAGAGCAGAGCAGAGCAGAGCAGAGCAGAGCAGAGCAGAGCAGAGCAGAGCAGAGCAGAGCAGAGCAGAGCAGAGCAGAGCAGAGCAGAGCAGAGCAGAGCAGAGCAGAGCAGAGCAGAGCAGAGCAGAGCAGAGCAGAGCAGAGCAGAGCAGAGCAGAGCAGAGCAGAGCAGAGCAGAGCAGAGCAGAGCAGAGCAGAGCAGAGCAGAGCAGAGCAGAGCAGAGCAGAGCAGAGCAGAGCAGAGCAGAGCAGAGCAGAGCAGAGCAGAGCAGAGCAGAGCAGAGCAGAGCAGAGCAGAGCAGAGCAGAGCAGAGAGCAGAGCAGAGCAGAGCAGAGCAGGGCAGGGCAGGGCAGGGCAGGGCAGAGCAGAGCAGAGCAGAGCAGAGCAGAGCAGAGCAGAGCAGAGCAGAGCAGGGCAGGGCAGGGCAGGGCAGGGCAGAGCAGAGCAGAGCAGAGCAGGGCAGGGCAGGGCAGGGCAGGGCAGAGCAGAGCACAGCAGAGCAGAGCAGAGCAGAGCAGAGCAGAGCAGAGCAGAGCAGAGCAGAGCAGAGCAGAGCAGAGCAGAGCAGAGCAGAGCAGAGCAGAGCAGAGCAGAGCAGAGCAGGGCAGAGCAGAGCAGAGCAGGGCAGGGGAGGAAGGGGAAAGAGGGAAGGAAGGGTGAGGGAGAAACGGAAGATTGCAATGGGTTTGATGAACCATGATGGCGGTACAAATGAGATAAAAGAGTATCTCACGACCGCATCCTCCCATGCCCAGCTCATACCTTATAGTACGCCACCGGACCCGAACCACCTTTCTCCTGCTCCTCGTCCTCCTCATCCCCATCATCCCCCTCCTCCCCTCCTATCTCCGCCACCCCTTCCCTACCCTCCCCCTGCGAAAGCTTCAGATCCATCAGAGGCGGGCCGAGGGGGCGAGTGGGGGAGGAGGCGAGCAGTTGCCAGGCAAGGAGAAAGAAGAGCGTGGGGAGGATGAAGGACGGGTAGAACAGTGCGAAAGTGTACGCCACGTGCACGGCGAGCGTGAGAGGAAGGCTCTCCCACGACCGCACGGCCTTGAACCCAGCAGCCATGGCAGAGAACCGCGCCCGCAGCATTTTGATCCGCTGCAGGTTGGCTTTAAGTCGCCGCACTGACAGCACGTCCTCATCGCACTCCCCCATGTACTGCACCACCTCGGCTCGCAGCGGCGGGTCGAATGCTCCCAGCTGCGCACACAGCAGGCCCACAGCCTCCTGTAAGAGTGCTGGTTCTTGGGATTCGGGGATGGGGAAGTGGTAATGCGCGGGGGGGAGCGTGGGGCGGATGTAGGTGGCGGCGAGGCGGGAGAGGGGGATGGCGGGGGAGAGGCGCAGCGCGAGGTGCAGTTGGCCCAGCTGCTTCACGCCCTTCTTGGTGAGGCACAGCAGCGGCTGGTGCGAGGAGAGGGCGCGCGTGGAGTCGATGGCGCTGAGGCGCATGCGTATGCGGCCCAGAGGGGTGTCTGTTGACGTGGTCACTCCCCTGTTGTGCCTGGTGGGGGGTGGGTGCGGTGGGGGAAGTAGGGGATGGGGGATGGGCAGATGAGACGGGGAAGAGGGAAATATGAGTGGTTGTGCGTGAGATGGGGAAGTGGAGAACGGGAAGAAGTGGGGTTTCTGGATTGCAAGACACGGCATGAGGGGAAGGGGAGGGAGCAGTGATGGCACATCGTGGGCACACACACACTTACTTGTTTTCAAACACACCGATGGTGACAACGGTGCAGAGGTCATAAACAGGCCAGGTAAACTGCTCACGCCACACAGGGTTGACCTCCCCGCTGACAGTCCTGGTGCGCGCCCACATGCCGCCATACCGCACCACCACATACACATCCATCCCCGCACTCCCCAGCGAGCTCGGCACTGGCCGCTGCAGATTCTTCGCCGATATGATCCCGATCTCGAGGCGCGCGATGGGCGGCGGGTAGAGGGAGCGGGCGGCGGGGAGCGGGGAGGAATGGAAGCGAGGGTGTTGGGTGAATACGTGGTGGCCGCCTTCCAGGGCGAGGAGGAGGGAGAGGAGGGGGGTGGGGGAGGACGAGGAGGAGGGAGGGGAGGAGGAGTGGAATAGGGAGGAGGTGGAGAGGGAGGATGCGATAGTGGGGGCTGGGGATGGTTTAGAGGGGGATTCGAGGGAGTCGTAAGAGGAGGTGCGGTTTGCAGTGGTGATGGCTGCAGGAGTGGCAGAGGCGGTGGTTTGGAGAGCGATGGAGATGGGTTCGAGGGGGTCGAGGGTGATGCGGGCGGGGATGGAGGAGATGAGCACGCCTGCTGATGCCACCACCTCCTCCTGCCGCGGGGACGTACAGGGAGGGGTGTGGGGGGGTGAGGCGGGGTGTTGAGGGGTTCTGAGGAGGAATGTGGTGAGTAGGGGGAGACGAAAGGGTGCGTGGGAGGAGAACAGGGTGATCAGCCTGTTTTTCTCACAACTGGTGTGGTTTCTCTCAACAAGGTGAGGTGGCAGGGGCAATCTGCCCTTGCCCTTGCAGGTGACCTTTGAACTGCTCTGACCTTGATGGGTGGACAGTGGGCTCACAACTTACCCAGGAGGGAGAGATGACATTCACGATCTGCACGTGCAGGTGCCCATTCAGCGGCTCTGCCACCACCAGCACCTGCTCATCGCCCTCGCCCCACACCCACACGCCCTCCTCCCGCCCCTCCTCCCCTCCTGCACCCCCACCTGCACCTGTCCTCTCCCCTGGGCCTTGCCCTGTCCCATGCTGTGCGCCCTGCCCCGTGCCCTGCTCTACGCCCTGCCCTGCGCCTGTCTTGGCCGCATCTGCTGCGGCCCTGCGGAGGGGGAAGACGGGGGGCATGCGCATGCTGCCGCCTATGTTGCGCAGGCTGCCCCCAAGGCTCCGCATGCTGCCCATAGCACTGCCCACGTTGCCAATAGCGCTGCTCACATTGCCCATGGCGTTGCTCACGTTGCCCATGGCGTTGCTAACGTTGCCCATGGCGTTGCTCACATTGCCCATGGCGTTGCTCACGTTGACCTGCCTGTTCTGCAACCGCTGCCCAAGCCGCTGCCTCAGGCCACCTGAACTTGCCTCTTCGCTTGTGCCCGAGCCTGCGCCCGTGCTTGAGCCCGTGCCTTTGCCCGTGCCTGTGTCCGTGCCTGTGCCTGTTCGTGAGCTGGCCGGCACGTCTGTCCCTGTGCCCGTGACAGCAGGAATGCCAGTGCCTGTGCGTGGGCTAGCTATCGCACCCGCCGCTGTTCCCTTGGGTGGACTGCTCCTCTCCTTCCCCCCACCACCGCTACCCTCATCTCCACCCACTCCCCCCTCCTCCTCCCGCCTCCCCTCCTCACCCTCCTCGCCCTCCTCCCCCTCGTCATCCTCATCCTCATCGTCGCTACAGCCGCTCGCTTTGCGGTCGCTCACCCCGCCGCCGGCATCGCTTTCGCCGGGCAGCGATGGAGTGCGGTGGGTGGCGGGGCCTGTCTGCACCTGCATGCCGCAGGGCACTCGTAGCCGCAGCACCTGATTGGTGGGAGGGAGCAGGGATGATGGGTGGGGGAAAGAAGGGGATTGGAACGACATAGGCTCTCATCCAGAGAGTGACCATCACATGAGATGAGAGCACAGACGGAGCGCATGAGAGCACATGCGGGCACAAGCTGTTAGATGAGGCATATCAGCTTGAGAGGAAAAACAGAGGGAGAGGCGTGGAGAGGGGTACTAAAAGCATACCAGAGGTGTGGAGAGGGGTACCAGAGGCATACCAGAGGCGTGGCCTTTTAGACGTCTCAGAACTCACAAGGTTGGGTGCAACACGCGGCACAGGGAGGTGCTCCAGCTTGCAGGGGTGTACGCGCAGGTACCAGAGGCGTGGAGAGGGGTAGGTGCGCGAGCGGTGGTGTGCCACACCCTTCACGTCCGACTGCCAGGCCTCTGCAAACTGCTCGTCCGCCCTCACTCCTATCCACACCGCCACTTGCAGCTCGCCTGCAAGGCAGGGGTGGGGTGGGGTGGGATGGTTGGAGGACAAGGGAGGCAGAGGGGTTGAGTGTGAAGAAGAAGCGGACGCGAGCTGAACACTGTGAGTGCCTGTGGTCACTTCCACCTGAGCTTTGCCTGGGGTCGAGGATGGGGAGACGAGGGGAGGGAGAGGGGGGGGGAAGAGTTTGTGACGAGAGGGAATGCATGGGGAAGTGGGGTGGGAGGGATTGTGAAGGGAGGAATGAGATGGAGGGATGGGATAGAGGAGCATGGAGGGACGGGATAGAGGAGCATGGAGGGACGGGATAGAGGAGCATGGAGGGACGGGATAGAGGAGCATGGAGGGACGGGATAGAGGAGCATGGAGGGACGGGATAGAGGAGCATGGAGGGACGGGATAGAGGAGCATGGAGGGACGGGTGTGAATTGTGGGAGGGACCAGCAGCATGCACTAGCGGTTATGATTTGCACTAGATTAGCACGCATCAGCAGCCCTACCTTTGACGGTGCTGCGAGCAGCGCTGGCAGGGGCGCTGGCAGCTTTGTTGTCGAGGCGAATCCAGCGCGGGTCAACAGGGGGCGCAGGGGGAACGCGGTGTGGGAGAGAGGTGACTGGCAGCGAGATGGCTCCCAAAAAGGAGTCCCGCATGAGACGGTTCTGATTGATGGGTGATGGGGTAGAAGGGGTGGGAGTGGAGGGAAAAAGGGGGAAAAGAGGAGCGGAGAGGAGATGGATGGGAAGGAGTGGGAGAGCAGTGGGGGAATACAGGCAAAGGTTTGAAACGGGTGCATGAGAGGATTGTAAGTGCGAAGAGAGAGAGAGAGTGGTTGCATAGTGATAATGCCAGGGGTGTGAAGCTCGCTCATTTGCACATGTGCAGTCTTCTTGCTCTAGGGCACGCACACACACACTCTCTCCTTGTTTAAGCAGTCACACACACACACACACACACACACACACACCTCGTTCTTGAGCACAATCTCAAGCACAGAGGAGGGATTGGCGAGAGAGAAGGTCGTGGCGGACTGGCCGATGGCAAAGACCTGCAGGGAGGAAAGGAGCCGGGAAGGACGTAGCGGGTGAATGGGGAGAGGTGCAAGGAGTTGGGGGAGGCATATGGAGATGCCGGAAGGGGGAGCAGTAGCAAAGAGCGAAGAGCTGGTTCCACTTGGGGTTGATGTCATTTGCGCTGCTGCGGGCTTTCTGCTACGGGCTTTCCTGTGCGGGCTTTCTGCAGCAGCGCAAATGACGTCACGGGGCCTTCCCGTGCGGGCTTTCCCCATGCGGGTGAGACCGTTTTTGAGGAGGCCAGGGGAGGGTGAGAGAGGCAGGAGAGAGTGAAGAGATGGTGACCTGGTTCCACTTGGGGTTGACATCATCTGGTACGGTGCGCGTGCGTGCCGTGACCTTGCCCACCGTGACCATGGCGAACTGGCATGCACACGCACAGGGAGGGGGAGGGACGAGAGAGTGGGTGGTGACAGGGAGATGCAAAGGCCGACTGAGAAGGGTGAGAGGGGGATTGCGGGGCAAGGGTGAAGAGCGAGAGTAAGAGGGAATGAAGACGGATTGGAGCGGAGGCACTGAGAAAAGTTCGGATCGCAGATGCATGCAGTGGTGCAGTACTAAATCGTATCATATCAGATCGTATCATATCCGATCGCATCAAGCAGCTTACTCACAGGGTCACTGGAGGCATTGAGATCGAGGCCTAGCAGTGAGCGCGCCTGCACCACTCGCACAAACAGAATCGGCTCCATTGCCAATAGCCCCTCCTCCTCCCCCTCCTCCTCCTCCTCTCCCTCCTCTTCTCCCTCCCCCTCCCCTTCCCCCTCCCGCTCTCCCTTTCCTTCATCTGCCTCCTTGTCGCCTCCCCCCCTAATCCCTAGCCCCTCGCCCTTTGCCCCCGCTTTCTCAGCAGGCACAGTGGCATGGGGCAGTGCTTTGGGGGGGGCGGAGGCAGGGGGAAGCAGCGGGGAGAGGGCGGTGGAGGAGGGTGAAACAGGCTGAGAGGGAGGCTCGCCAGAAGAAACGATGGTGGCGAGAGGGGAGGAGGTATAGAGAGAGGGGAACGTGGGGAGAATGGGGAGAGTGGGGAGGGTGGGGAGAGTGGGGAGTGTGGGGGGAGCGGTGGGAAGGGGGAGAGAGGTGGGAGGCGAGGAGGAATGCGAGGCAGCATTGCGGCTGCTGTGCCGGGAGAGCTGGTGGGACAGGGCTGTGGGCAGGTTTTCATCGTCGGAAAAAAGATGACCTGGACGCGGACGGCGGGAGGTGCCACCTGTCGGCCTCGCATTGGTCGAACTCGTCCAGGCAGTCAGGGTTGATGGACGAGGCTGGCATGTCCTGGTAGGACACTGCCATGCTGGGGGTTGGCGGGGGAGCGTGGAGCATGGGGTGTGGGGGTGGACCGAGAGGGAAGGGGGGGGGGGGGGGGAGGGGGGGGGGGATGGATCAGGGGATTGGGAGGAGGATGGGGGAGGGAGATGGATGAGGCTGGCACGTGCTGGTAGGACACGGGCAGGGTGAGAGGGGAGGTAAGGGAAATGGAGCATGGGGTGGGGGGGAGGGGCAGGAGAGGATGTGTGGGCGAAGCAGAGAGTGGTGAGCGGATTGCATTCAACCTTTGCCCTTCCCCCTACTCCATCCTCCCTCCTTCCCCCCCCCTCATCTCACCCAGTTCGCCCTGCGCATTCAACCTCCCCTTCCCTCAACCCCCTCCCCTCCATCCCCCACCCCCCCCTCCCTCCCCTCCCCTCCCCCCATCTCACCCCACGTCGCCCCGCACGCGGTTGACAAGGGAGCGGCGCTCAAGAGGCAGCCAGGCGAGGGGTGCAGAGGGGTGGAGAGGGATGCCTGGCGTGGGGGCATGTATGCGGACGGGCACCTGGAGGGGCAGTGGGGCGTGGAGACGGGGAGAGGGGATAGCAGAGCGATGGGGGGAGGGGCATGGGCAGAGATAGGAAGGAAATGCTGGGGATGGGGACGGACGAGGGGAAGAGGACGCTCACAGGTGCTCCACGCTGCACACCCTGCCTCCACACCCCCCTCCTCACCTGCACGCTCTCCTCTCGCCCCTCCCTAGACTTCATACACCTGTTGCAACATAACCCCTCCCCTCTACCCCCCTTTCGGCATGGAGGTTCTTCCCCCCTCTTTCTCCCCAGAAGGAGCATAAGACCAGAGAGAACACCAGCTCAAGAGAGCAGCAGCTCAAGAGAGCACCAGCTCAAGAGAGCACCAGCTCAAGAGAGCACCAGCTCAAGAGAGCACCAGCTCAAGAGAGCAGCAGCTCCTCTCTCTCTTCCCTCCTTTATCCTCTGCTTTCCGCATACACGGGCGTCCCGCACACCAAGATTCACACTGCCTGTCCCCGCTATCCACAATCTTCCCAGGCCCCCTCCTCTGCGTCCTACTGTTCTAATCTGCTGAGTTCTCATCGCAACATCATTATCCACCCCTCATCTCCACCATCCCCAAGCGTCCACCGCTCACCTGCACCTTCCCCAGGAACACGCTTCTCTCCGGATCGCCTGCCAGCCCGCCACTAGGGGCGGAGCCCAGCACCGGGCGGCGAAAGCTGGCCGAGATACTGCCGGCTGCAACGAGAGGGGCGGAGGCGGAGGAGAGGGTGTAGATGGTGACGTGGACCGGCTCTTGGTGGTCGGCCAGTGAGGGGTTGAGGGGTGACGGCAGGGGGACTGCAAACACGAACTGGATTTGGGGTGAGGAAGAGGAGGGGAGCGAGGGGAGTGAGGAATTAGAGAAGAACATGGTGAGGATAACGACTGGGAAGGTATTCATGGGTTCAACCGTTTTCCGCCCAGCAAGCTAGATGTTCACTCAAAGTTCTATCAAACATTAATGTATTATTGGGTGGGTCACTCAAATTGTGAATGCAACGACTTACGTGACTTGAGAGGACAGTAAGTGGAGGAGCAATAAGGGCAATAACCCGAGTGTGTGAGCATTCATCTCCCCTATCGCACCTTTTCATCCCACACGGGGTTGAGGTCCCTCTCCACTGTGTGCGTGCGCTTCGTGTGACCGTTGAACTCCACCTGCCACCCACCATCATGCCATGCGATGTCATGCCATGCCATGCCATTCCATGCCACGTAATGCCGTGCCATGCCATGCCATTCCATGCCATGTAATGCCGTGCCATGACAAGCCATGCAAATCCGTGCCATGCCGTGCCTTGCGCCGTACCATGCCATACCATGCCATCACACGACATGAACAGGGTATAGACAGTGAATACGCGACCACTGACGCGTCATGTGGTAAGCTCCATGCAAGCAGTTGAAGGATCGTCAGCCGCAGCGGCAACGCAGTTGGCACGCACGACGCAGAAGGGACTGGAGGAGGCGCCGTCCTTTGGCAGAAGCTTCCGCGCGCCTGCGATCTCCACGTGCACTAACCGCACCCATCCCGAGCCGGCCGCCTCGGGAGACTCGGAGGCTGACGGCGGGGAATTCGCGACGTCTGGTGCTGGCTGCACGGCAGAGGGAGGACTCGTCGACGCGTCTTTCTCCCTCTCCGCCATGACTCCGATGGGAGCGGGAACTTGCGGCTAGTAGGTCCTAGTAATAGCGTCAAAGCGGCCGTCTTTACATATAAGAATGGTAGTTGCAATGTAGGCGATACCAGAAGGATGTTGACCAATAACGCAATGGCCGATGGTGCTGTGGTGGCCTAGGAGAACGGAGATTCAATCCGATGGAGCATGCAGCACGTCGGTCACATGCGATGCGAGGTCGCGAATAGCGTGGGGAGTGTGGTAATAAACTATTTACTCCGGAGGACTACGTGGAGTTACGAGGAAGCTCAACACGAACATTGAGAAGGGCAATGCCCGAAGTAGCAGCAACCATGGGTTGAATTGAGAAATTCGAGTTGCCTGAATCCGTCGGTATTCTCGAGATGTAGCAGATTGTCTAGGGAATATTCGTTGGGGGACTGCGGCGGGTCTGACTGAACTCTGGGTACAGTTCAATTATATTCGTAGCCGAGTTTCTCTACAGTGCTCACTTTATCCAGCAAACGATTTCTTCCCCTAACTATTTCTCAGTTAGGAGTTTTCTATTAAGTGCAAGTGACATGAGTGCCAAGAAAAACTGAAGCGTATATAGAACAATAAGGGTGTCAATGTCATTCTACCATAGTACTACTAACAGCAGAAACGAAACAGCTACGCAAAAAAGCGACACAAGGATTTTTGGAACTTTATAAACATAATTTATTCCCTTGGCAACTCATCACATCCTTGGAAGCCGAAGCAGGTTCTTGCTCACAGCAGTAGGGCAAGCAGGACCAAGTAGTGCCACCACTCCATCCCTTCCAGATCCCTTCACATGAGCCGCACAGACAAAGCCAGACGATGTAATCTGTGCCTTCACCACCCCATGCACTGACATCCTCTTACTCGCCCGCCTCTGCTCCACCTCTACAAACTCCAGGCACACCTCCTCTAGCAGCTCCTCCAGCAGCATCCCTTCCACATCAAACACAACACCCGGCTCCTCCTCCGCCACATCCTGTGCACGCCACCTCTCCGTGCCCCTCCACAAATCACGCCTTGCTGACTCATCCAGCACCGTGTACACCTCATCAGTGGACGCCACGGGCCATGAGTGAATCTCCGACCACACCTCCTGCACCAGCTCCATGCCCACAGGCCGCCTCCGCGGCGCCACTTGCACGGGCTCGGGGGACCACGGCACGCGCGGGAGGAAAGGCGCGAGGCGGCGGCCGAGAGCCTCGTTGACGGCGTCAAAGAGCAGCATGCGCTGCCGGCGCTCCTCGTGGTATGACGCGGGTATGGCGAGAGGGAGGGAGGGCAGGCTGGCAGTCAGGTGAGACGGGTCGTGCGTGGCGTGCGCGCAGCAGCGCATGAGGAAGGCGGCTTCGAGGTGCTGGAAGAAGGCGGGGTTGATGGGGAGGTACGGGGAGAAGAGGGGGGGAAGGGCGTCGGAGAGGAAGCCGGCGGCGAGCATGGCGTGCCGCACGTACTGCACGTCCTGCTCCATACCGCGCACGTCGCCTATCAGCTCCGCCCACGGCATGTCCGCGTCCTCCGCGGATCCCGCGGAGGATGGGGAGGGTGAGGGGAAGGTGAGCGGGAGGGTGAAGCTGGTTTGGCTGATGGACTGGTTACCAGTTGGCTGGGTGACCAGAGGCAGTTGATCAGGATGAGGTGGAGGAGGAGTCGGGTGTTGGTGGGAAGGCGTGTGTTGCGCGCGGGGTGCAGTGCGGATTGCCGGGTGGTGCGCAGACCCATCCTCCGCTCTACTCTGATCGCATCCACGCGGGCCTTTCGCAGCTACCCGCCTTCCACTCCTCCTCGACCCTCGCGACGGCTCTGTGTGAGGGGTTGCCTCTTGCTCCTCACCACGCTTCTTCGTCCTCTGCTCCGCGCTCACGCCCCTCCCACCGTTCCCCACTCCGATTGTCCCTACTACCCGCTTTTCGTTCTTCCCCTTACCGCTCACTGATCCCCCCGCACTGTGTTCCCGCAGCCCCTTTCCCCCGTCCGGTGCGCCATGCGCGGGGATTCGTCCGCCGCTACCACTAGGCGGACCTTTCCCGTCCGCCAGGCGCTGTCGGGGCTTCACTTCCCCCGCCACAACGCGGCTCTGCGCAACGTTCCCCGCAGATCCCGCAACCAGCGGCTTCCTGTCCGCAGCCAGCGCACTGCGGGACACGGGCAGAGCCGCAGCCCCCCCTCGAGATCCCACCCTCCCGCCACGTGGCACATGTGGAGTGGCAGAGGCGCCACCAGCACCCGTCTTGGGATCTCCGGCGCCCACCACCCCCAGCCCCTGTCGGTGCTTGGCCAGCTTCAGCGCCAGATTCTCACTCGCGTCTGACAGTCGCCGCCCCTGTCCGCGCTGCCCGCCTTTTGCCGCGTTTTGTGCTGCTTTTTCCACAGAAACCTTTCCGCGCGGTGGGCTACAAACCGGCGCATGTACACGCTCGTTTAAGTCTGTGGGTGTTCCGCGGGCCGCTCCTGCTGCTGTCGCGCCAGCTTTGGTCCTCCGCGGCTGCGATGAGGTGCTGAACGGTTCGCGCCCCACCGTCCCACCGTCCTCCGCCGCGCGCCGATGGTTGAGAGAGCGCGACTTGGCCTGCGACGATTGCGTGGGGGCCAGCAGGCGGCTGCTAACGCGCGACACTGTCGCCGACTTGCACGCGCGCTCCAGGCTCAAATGCCCATCCGATAGCCGTCCGATCGAAAGGTTCGTGCCCGCGCCTGCGAAGCTCCGCCTGCGGCTGGGGAGGCGGTCACCGTACTGCGCGCCGAAGACCGCGTCGCCACCGGAATCCGAAGGGCTCTCCCAGCCCGTGTCGTCGGGCGCGCCGTCGCAGCTGAAGCGCGAACTGTCGCAGCTGAAAGTGCCCGACAGCGATAGCGACATGGATAGAGGCGACACGGAGCTAGACGCCGCATCGTGCTCTGCGTGGATAGATTTCAAAACTGTCTTAGATGGAGACGACGTTAGCACGTCATATTCGGATATGCTCTCCTGTAGTATACGTCCACTGCCTACCGCCATTGTGATGGAAAACGTGCCAAGGGGGTTGCAGAAGGCGCATGTCAAACGGCCAATCTACACTAAACGTGATCCTGAAAGTGCCAAATCTTGGAGTCTCCGAAGTGCTGGATGAACAAAAGGGGTTGCAAATGCGTCACGCGAACGGGTTCTCTATGTCATCACGATGGGAAACTGAAACCGACAACGGGATGAGGAAGGGGATTCGAAGGGTTTGGGGGTGGGGGGGAGTGTATGGGGTGGACCGTGTTGGTGGGTGGGACTGGGGATTTGGGGAGGCAACGGGAGGAAATGAAGAGGACCGAACATTTGGAACGGTCATTTTGCACAGACGCGGCTTGACTCTGCTTTTGCCCATTTCCCCGTTCCCGACGGCGGCGCGAATGCTGGAGTCTCAAATTGGGGCAATCCTGAAAAATGTGTAGAACACCAACTATGCTCCAACGAAATAAACCATTTTAGCAATATGCACTTATGGCGATTTTTTTGGTCACATATCTGTCAGAGATACTGCCAGAAAGCATGATATACAATTTATTCAGTGGGAATATACTTAAGAACATTTCATAACGTGAGAAAACATACTATACTTTCATTCAAATGATACAAAGTATGAAGCATATATTATAGCAATAAACCTGAAACAGGGCTGAAATCGCTTATAACTTGACTACCTTTACAACATCCAGCTTCAGGCTTTCAACAACAGCGAAGCGCGCGAGGTTTGATGGGGGGCTATGGTTTCTGAAGAACGACTGCACCAGCGACGCAATCCTACTGGTTGCGAGATGCAGTTACTGAAGCTTGCGAGAACCACTATCTTGCACAACTACCCTTCGATGACACGAACCAGAATTGCCTGGTCTCCTTGATATCATCCCACCCTGACAGATGCTCAGGTAATTACATAGGAATGGAGATAGCATTATCCCCTACATTGTCAGTCTAGGGCCCGACTGGTTCGTGAAGAAGGCATTAGCATTGCTGGCGTAACTTTGCCAATGGCTCATGGGTTCACGGTTACGGCCGTTCTAGCAATTTTACTGGTGTGCATTCCTCTTTCACTGGCCAATGATCCTCCAAGCGGACAACCCTCGGGATTGCCGCAGCAGTCCCAAGCCGTCCCGGGCTCACAGCTTAGAAATAATGCAACCTCGCCGTCATCTGTCGATCAGCAACCGTCCAACCAGGCTCCATCACGAGCGTCGCCGCCACTGCAGGCCGAATTGTTCGCACATTCGCCGGCTGAATCCCCGCCGTCCTTGAATGATCGACAATCTGCCAGCACTGCAAACGCGCCGGCATCCCAGCCATCCGCGGAGCCACCGGCGCAGCAGCTTCCGCAGCTGTCGTCTCCCCCACAGGCTCCGCCTGCTGGAAGCCGGACAGAGCCGAGCAGTGATGCGCGGAATAACGCTCCCGCTGCGCCTGCTTTTCCGGAAGCTGCGCCTCCGCTTTCCCCTGCAGGGGGAGAAACCGTGAGCGGAGCGCCGGCGCAAGAGAAGGGGGGCGCGGAAGCGTCGCGCGAGGAGGCGGAGCAGCTGTCGACGACATGCGGGCTGACGGACTACATCAGACAGTCCGGCGCATGTGACAGTGAGCAGCGTTCCACTAACGAGAGGCTGGCTTGTGTTGGGCTCGCGAGATGTGGCTGGTGTGCTCGGTTGTAACCAGCATGATGTCTGTGTGCTCCCTCTCCCTATCCATCCACACATATCCAATTCGCTGTTACCACTCGCTGCTTCTTCAGCATGTTTAAGTCGAATTCAAACACACAAAGCTCACCATCACCCTAACTGTATCCGCCTCCCCCCCATAAACTCTTAGCGGCTGTCCCCTCCTCCGCCTTCCCCTTCCTCTCCGCCTCCCTCTCCCCCCATACCTTGCCGTGCGGAGTGCAGGCAAGGGGCGGCGCACAGTGTCGTTTGTGAAGGCGCGCAACTGCACCGATCCGTTCCCCGTCCAGCCCTCGCAGCAGGAGCCGTGCAGTGAGTGCAGCAGAAGAGCGTGGTGGTGTGAATGACGCCATGTGGACAGACAAAGTCAAGGCACGGTGGCCTCAACCCATCCATCCATTTCCGGGCTTCTTGCTAAACCATCCCCATCTCCCTCGTTTCTTGCTTATCAACCCACATCGCCCCCATCGCATGCTGATCCACCCATCGCCCCGTGTGCCCCTGCCCGGCAGCATGCACGCCGGAGGACTTTGATGTCGTCTACACGGCCTCGCGTGATGGTGCCACGTGCAACATGCAGTACCTGCCACGCAGTGAGTCTGCTCTGCACACACTGTCAACGCACACCTCTCAGCCTGTGTGTCTGACACCCTCCTCCTGCTCCTCTCCTCCTTACCTCCTACCAAGGTAAACCTCTTGTTCCTCTTTTTTCTCATCCCTCTCTCCCTCCCCTGCCATCCGCACATGCTGCATGGCCAGACTGCACGGGAGCACAGCAGTCACAGCTCATCCCAGTGGACAAGGTCTACTGCGGTCAGTGTGCTCCTCCTCCTCTCCTCCTCTCCTCTCCTCCACTCCCGCCCCACCTTCCTCACCTCTCTGCCTCGTTTTGACAAGCGGTTTCTCGCCATCTCTGCCACAACACAATCTTCATGCGTGTCACACCATCACTATCATTCAAGCGCTACTCGCACGTACTCACATGCAGTGACTGCCATGCACCACCCACATCCCATGCCATGCCATGCCATGCCATGCCATGCCATACAGGGCTACCGAATGCGCCATGCACAGAGGCCCACGTGGACGCCATCTACTCCGACTGTGACTTCATCCGTGACTCCCTCACTGGCCTCAACATCTCTGCCATGCGTTTCGTTGAGGTACGCCCTGGGGGAGGTGCGCCCTGGGGGAGGTGCACCCTGGGGGAGGTGCGACCTGGGGGAGGTGCACCCTGGGGGAGGTGCACCCTGGGGGAGGTGCACCCTGGGGGAGGTGCACCCTGGGGGAGGTGCACCCTGGGGGAGGTGCACCCTGGGGGAGGTGCACCCTGAGCTGCTCCCTTCCTCCCGTGTGCTCGTCCCTGCTCGCTCTATCTGTACTGCACTCCGCTCATTCACATTCCCCTCCCATCAAGTCTCATGCCTCACGCATTCCCCTTCGTACATGCACCACGTGTCCCCTTGTTCCCTTCCCTCCTTCCACTCTCCCTCCCCTGTGTACTCCGAATCAGGTGATCTATTTCTTCCGCCAGGAGTGCGACCCCTACACACGAGGCTCCATTCACCTGCCCCCCACCACCTTCATTCCCTGCGGTACAGACACCCCACTCCACGCTCTTATACCCCCACTCGCTCGCACGCCCACCCCAGTCCTGCCCTCGCCTCACCTATGCTGACGCTTTGCCAAATTACCACCCACCCAACCCCAAGCGGCCGTGCAACAGCCTCACTCGCCTCATCACCACCAGTTGCCACACTCTGTCGGCCGCTGTTGATTGCCTCACCGTGCCAGATATGGCCAAAGTTGCATCAGAATGCTCGTGCGTGCGCCCACTCTCCCCTCTTCCCCAAGCACCCCCTTGTTACTCTCCCCTCACTCCCACCCCCTCCCCCTCTCCCCCGCACACCCGGCAGACATGCAGTGCGGGGCGGGGCACTACCTGCACCACGACCACTGCCACAAGTGCCCTGCAGGTGCGAACTCGAACTCGCTTCTCCTGGTGGTGACAGGGGATCGCGGGCGAGGAAAGGCAGGACGGCAGGGACCTTGCAGGTGGGGGCTCAGGGAAGGGAACGAAACAGAGAGAGGCGAGCATCTGGGGTGACTGGCGGGCTCCAGTCAGAGCACACGGGGTGAGGGGCGAGGTGAAGGGAGGGAGGGGGAAGCCATAGCAGGAAACGGTGGTGTCATGTGAGTTGGTCTGGTAGAAATATGAAGCTGCTGGTTTGCTTGCTCTCTCTCTCGCGTGCCACACACCCCTTCCACCTTCCCTGTGTCTACCACACCAGGCACGTACAGCATGGGGGGGAAGTGGCGGTTCCAAGACATATCTGAGATCGACCCCCTCTACTTCAAGGTGCGCACCGCCATGGATGCATGGCATGGCATGGCATGAGGGGAGCACACACGCATGATATGTAGAATGGCTGATACCACCATCATGCTGTCCGTGTGCACACACACGCTATATACCCATTCACACAGTTCATTCTCGTGTGTACATGACTGGGCCTCATAGGAATCAGTCCATCTCTGTCTAGCCCTCAGCTGTGCACGCGTCTGCCATTCCCTCCTGCCGCCATCCCCGCCCCCGCCCCCCAGACGGAGTGCAGGTTTACCAACGCCTCTGGCACCTTCCACTGCGACCCGTACGTTGCCCCTCTGCCCTCACTGCCCCCCACCACCCTTGCTGTCCCTGTGCTCCCACCCCGCCCATGCCACCATACATTCTCTCCTCCGCTCCACCGTTCCTTGTTGTCTTGCTCCTCCCTCACTTGTTTCACCACCTGCTGCACTTAACCTACCAGATGCCTTCATCCCCGCCCGCCCTTACTGCCCACACAACCTCCGCACCCTCTGTGCCCCTGTGCACCCCTGTGCACCCCTGTGCGCCTCTGTGCACCCCTCCCCTGTCTCATCGCATCCCCTCTTGCCTCTGTGTGTGGCTGCATGTCCCCCCCACTGACTGCACAGCTGGTACGCGGATGATGGTGCGTTTGAGGCGGGTGCATACGACTACATCAACGACTGGCTCCCGGTGAGACTCCCCCCAGTGGTCCTCTGCTGAACTACCCGCCACCTGCACACACGTCCTGCCTAATCTCTCGTTCACGGTTTCTCTCCTCCCCTCCCGACCCCCTCCATGCACTCTGCCCCCACATCTACTCGACAACTCCATTGACCCCCAACCTTGTTGACTTCCAACCCTGTTGAACCGCCAATCCTGCGTGACCCGGCATGAGCAGGAGGTGTGTGCATCGAACCCGGCGTACAACTGCCACAACAACCTGCTCTCATCACTCTCCCTCGACGTGCACCTCGTGCGAGACGGGTGAGGCAGAAGCACGGCTGCAAGGCACGTTGCAGGAGTTGCGAGGAGTTGCAGGGGATGCTCCACAAGGAGGGCAAAAGAGGGTGGGTATAGTTGGGAGTAACGCAAAGCGGATGGCATGTCAGTGAATGTTGTATCCACCATTCCTCTGCTCGCCTACCTTTCACCCTTCTTCTTCCCTCCGCCCCCCACCCGCTCCTCCCGCCTTGTGCAGGTACGTGAGGTTCAACTTCAGAGGGAGTGCAAAGATGGGGCACGGTAAAGTAGCTACATCTCACCACCCGTTTGTATCTCTAACCGCCCCTCCACTCTCCCTCCCTCCCGTCACCCTGCCCCCTCTCATCCCTCCCGCCCCCGGCGCAGGTACGTGAAGTTCAACTTCACAGTGAGTGCAGAGGTGGGGCACGGTAAAATAGGTAAATGTTATGACTCATCCCTGCACCCCCTCATCTCTCCCCACCTGCGCCATGCACAGGTACGTGAAGTTCAACTTCACAGTGAGTGCAGAGGTGGGGCACGACGGGCTTGCCTTCTACATCGACTCTCTCTCACAGCCCCTCATGGCCCTCACCTCCTACCAGGTACCCCTCATGCCTGTACCTAGCCCACCCCCATCGCCTCCCTTCCACTTGTTGCCTCCCTCCCATCGCCGTCCATCGTGAGGCCTCAAGTGTGTGGCTCACGCCTCTGGCACACCCCATCCCTCTGACTGTGCGTGCGTGCGCCCCCCTGTGCATGGCACGGTGCGTGGCGGGGCGGCAGTTTGAGCCGCGCGAGATGGTGTTCCCGGTGGAGGCGGGGCAGCACCGCCTGGTGTGGGTGTACAGCAAGGATGACAAGTGGAGCAAGGGGGAAGACATCGCCACCATCCCGGTCAGTCGCTATGCCATACCATCCCCTTAGTTGCGGAAGACGCGTCTAGCGTCTTAGACGCGCCTGTCTTGACGCAGCGTCTAAGATGCTAGACGCTAGACAGTATAGATTAGGCGCAGTATTAGACGGAAACCTGGGCAGGCCTAAAAAAAATTCGGGCAGACCAAAAAAAGTTCTATGGGGCATGGGGAGGGTGGGGGACATGCACCTATGTCACAATGAGGTGAAATATTCCCTGTACCATCATTTTTTCCCCATTCTAAGACTTCACAAAATTTTTCACATCTCATCATATATGATTGGGGGGGATTCAAATTCGCTTGGGTTGCTGGTTTATATGGTCGAAATGAGTGGGAAGGGGTTCTAATGGCGTGAAATTGATTTTTGCGTTGAAATGGCGAATTTCAATATTCGCCCAATCGTCTTGCGTCTAGCGTCTTCCCCCCATCAGGTTCCCCATCAGGTTCGTCTCCATCAGGTTCGTCCCCATCAGGTTCCCCATCAGGTTCCGCATCAGGTTCCGCCCAAGCGTCTTGCGTCTAAAAGTGCATCCTGCGTCTAGCGTCTAGATGTTGCGTCTAGCATCTTCCGCAACTCAGACCATCCCACAGGTCGACACTTTGTGGCATTGCCATGGCATGCAAGCTCACATGCCGTTTTTATCCATGTCATCCGTGTGCCATGCTGTCTTGTCTCTGCACACACATACCGCACCTCCCCTCCTCCTCCCCCTATCACCTCGTGGCAGTACATAGAGGTGGATGGAGTGGCTTTCAATGACTTCCTCTGCACGCCATGCCCCGCCGGCTTCTACAGGTCGCCACTCTCCCACCCATCCCTGCTTGAACCGCCCCGCCCACTCGCACTAGCCCTGCTGGCCCAAGCCCTGTAGACACTTGCACTGGCGCACATGATAGCACGTGTACGAGTCACTCCTTCCGTGGCGGATTGCCAATGCCTTTTCAATACTGCGAGCTTGCTTGAACGAATCTCTCCTCGTGCACCACCTGCAATGTTCTCCCCTCCTGCCTACTGCCCCCTGCTGCCATTCCTACCTCCCCTCCTCCCTGCCTTCCTCCCTTCCTTCCCCCCTCCCTGCCCCGCATCCTTCCGTCCACCCTTTTCTTCCCTTTCCCCTCTCCTCCTCTCCTTTCCGCCTCCTACCCTCATCCCCTCATTCCCTCATTCCTATCCCCCCTCTCCCCGCCTCACTCCACATCCCCCCATGTGTCCCTCCCGGTGCCTGTGAGCAGTGCGGAGGGCGCGGGTGCGTGTGAGCCGTGTCCTGAGAACACCATTTCCAAGTGAGTCACACAGGGTCAACGGACTGGATTCTTCAATCCAACCACGTCAGCACATGAGATGTCCATACCGTGGGCAACCTTTTGGTCCCTACCTCCACGTGGCCATGTGCAAGGCTTTATGCTCACACACCTTTCATACACACACATTTCTGCATTTGGAAATATATTATATATGTACATATGCATGTGCGTGTGCGTGTGCATGTGCGTGTGCATGTGCGTGTGCATATGCGTGTGCATGTGCGTGTGTGTGTGCATGTGCATGTGCGTGTGAATGTGCGTGTGCATGTGTGTGTGCATGTGCATGTGCATGTGTGTGTGCATGTGCATGTGTGCACGCAACCATGGCAGGGAGGGCGCGTCAGAGTGCACGGCATGTGGGAGCAGCGCCTATGCGCGCATTGTCCCGCGCACCGACTGCAAGCCCCGCCTGCGTGAGCCTGCCAGCCCCGCCCCTCGTGACACTCCACACCACCATTGCCACATGCATGCATACCGTTCCCACCTCACTCCCACCTCACTCCCACCTCTCTCTCATGACGCACTCTCATCTTGTACCTCTCCCTCGTGCGACCACTGTTGTCTTCCCCCTCTCCCATCGCGGTTCAGCATGCAGTGTGAGCGATTCCACCATCACCTACACGCCATGCCAACTCGCCTCCAAGAAGCGCATCATGGTGAGCCCATGCCATGCCATGCCATGCCATGGCTCTCTCTCTCTCTCTCTCTCTCTCTCTCTCTCTCTCTCTCTCTCTCTCTCTCTCTCTCTCTCTCTCTCTCTCTCTCTCTCTCTCTCTCTCTCTTTCATTCCCTTGCCCTCCTGCAATCATTGCCGCCATCATCGTCCATGTTGTCCCCACTTGCATATCTCCTCACTGTGATCCCTGCCTCTCTCCTTCATTTGTGTGTGCATGGGTGCATGCATGCATGGGTGCAGAAGTGGCAGTGGATCCAGCCTCAGATCTGTGACCCCTCCAACATCACTCTGCCCATGGACATGCCTCTTGACTGCGGTGAGCTGCCATGCCATGCCATGCCATGCCATGCCATGCCATACCATGCCAAACCACGAGATGCAGCGCCATGCCATGCCACGAAATGCCATTCCTTCCAACCCACCTCCCAGCCAAGCATTCTTTCAACCCCATCTCATCCTTCGCACACCTCCCTACCTCCGCACCCTCCATGTCTCATCGCACCCTCCATGTCTCATCGCACCCTCCATGTCTCATTGCACCCCATCAGAGCCGTGCCCGGATGGCCAGCAGGCAGAGCCCGACCCGCAGTCAGGGGAGATCCGCTGCACCCTCTGCCCTCCCGTGAGCCTCCTTTTCCCTCCTGCACCACTCCTGCCTCTTCCCTATTTGCCCATCGCTGCTCGCCCGACCATCGAACCTTCCCTGAGGCACCCTCACCGAACCCAACCACACCTCCCTCCCCGCCCACTCCCCACACCCCTCATCACCGCAGGGTACGGCGCGGCAGGCGAGCTACGAGGGGGGGGCGGGCAGCGCTGGCAGCATGTTAGAGGGGCGGTGTGAGACGTGCAGCGAGGGGCAGGTGGCGATGAAGACCCTGTCGCTGAGGCACTTCACCATGCAGCCCAACGGCGCCCTGCCCCCCAACTTCACCACCGGCTGCCATGGCGACTGCGGCACCTTCGGCTGGAGGGCCTTTCAGGACCACCTCGACTCGGGCAGCGGCCACGGCCCCACCGCCTCTGTGAGAAATGGATGGATCGGCTTGCTGCATGTGCTACACCACGAGACTGTTATGTGAACACTAGTCACTGCCACGTGGCACCAAGACTGTGCTCACTTGTTTCACGACCACCTTGACTCGGGCAGCGGCCACGGGCCCACCGCCACCGCGAGGAAAGGCGGACGGGCTCTCTGGAATGCGGGCTATACGGTTGCTGTGTGAACACTAGGTGATGCCAAGGAGTGTCATACGTGGTGCTGACTCGTTTCATCACCATCTTGAATGCTGCAGTGGCCACGGGTGTTGCGTCAGTGGTACCTTCTTCCCAACATGCCCTGCGTCTTGTCTCCCTCCCCTCTCTACCCCTCCACTACTTCTGCCGCCCCTGGCGTCCCGTGCGGCATCAGATATGGCTGGCGCTGGAGGTGCACATGGCAGTGCTCGGGTACATGACATTCAACTACTCCGTTGACATCCTCCCTGGCGACCCGGGGCGGGCTTTCTTCTTCTTTATCGACCATGACCTCATGGACTATGTGGAGGTGACGTCATGGACTATGTGGAGGTGACCTCATGGACTATGTGGAGGTGACGTCATGGACTATGTGGAGGTGACGTCATGGACTATGTGGAGGTGACGTCATGGGCTATGTGGAGGTGACGTCATGGGCTATGTGGAGGTGACGTCATGGACTATGTGGAGGTGACGTCATGGGCTATGTGGAGGTGACGTCATGGGCTATGTGGAGGTGACGTCATGGGCTATGTGGAGGTGACGTCATGGACTATGTGGAGGTGACGTCATGGGCTATGTGGAGGTGACGTCATGGGCTATGTGGAGGTGACGTCATGGACTATGTGGAGGTGACGTCATGGGCTATGTGGAGGTGACGTCATGGGCTATGTGGAGGTGACGTCATGGACTATGTGGAGGTGACGTCATGGACTATGTGGAGGTGACGTCATGGACTTTGTGGAGGTGACATCATTTGCTATGTGGATGTGACGTTATGGAATATGTGGAGGTGACCCCGTGTGAAGTGGTCTATTCATGTGTAGATAATCAGGTGATGTGCTTAGAGGCGTGAAGGTGCATGCATTGCACACTATGCCCTGCATGCATTGCACACTATGCCCTGCATGCATTGCACACTATGCCATGCATGCGTTGCACACTATGCCATGCATGCATTGCACACTATGCCATGCATGCATTGCACACTATGCCATGCATGCATTGCACACTATGCCATGCATGCATTGCACACTATGCCATGCATGCATTGCACACTATGCCATGCATGCATTGCACACTATGCCATGCATGCATTGCACACTATGCCATGCATGCATTGCACACTATGCCATGCATGCATTGCACACTATGCCATGCATGCATTGCACACTATGCCATGCATGCATTGCACACTATGCCATGCATGCATTGCACACTATGCCATGCATGCATTGCTGTACGGTGGTGGGAGCAAGCAAGGCGTGCCCATGGTCCCTTTCTTGTCCAGCCATTGCTCTGGCCGCACCACGATGACCCGCTCATACTCTTCCCTCCTCCCCACTGCCCGTTCCCTCTGCCAGCAACAACGCGTGGAGTGGGAGGAGGGCGGGGAGGAGAGTGGGCACCCGGGGTCAGGGGAGAAGGAGACGCGCATGAGTGGCATATGGGAGCTGGATGTGGGGCGCCACTCGCTCATGTGGGTGTGGCAGAAGCTGGATGACACCGGCGCTGCTACCAGGACCACCCGCGACTCTGCTGTCATCTATGACATCCATGTGCGTGTGACATCCATGTGCGTGTGACATCCATGTGCGTGGCTGGGCATGTGGTATTCATGTGTGTGTGTGGTCGTGGCACGGAAAGAGGTTACAATGTGTGTAAGCGCAGCGGTTGGCCTGTGCAGGCACATGAATGAATGCTGCCAGTATGCTATGGTGACATGGCACTACCAATGGTTGCACGTCATGTGCCTATGATATGATTGCATGCACTCATGGCCCCCTCTCTCTCTCTCTGCCTTCCCGCTTGCATGCAATGCCGCCGTGTAGATAGAGGGAGTGGCGGAGGGTGGTGCAGCGCGGTGTGAGGAGGTACCGCAGGGGACAACGCTAGCAGAGGGGGGCGACTCATACGTGCCGTGTCCCCCCGGCACCTCCAGTGAGGGCGGTGCGTCCTCCTGCCTGCCCTGCCCGCCCAACACCTTCAACAACCAGCCCCAGGTGTGCCCCCGCTGCAACACGGCACCCCGTGCATGCCATGCCATCATGCCATGCCATGCCATGCCATGCCATGCCCCGCCATGCCATGCCATGCCATCATGCCATGCCATGCCATGCCATGCCCCGCCATGCCGCCCAGTCCATACCACGCCAGTCCATGCACCATGCTCCAGCCATGCCCCTGCAAGCATCCCATTTCCGCCAACCCCCATGCAGCCATGCAGCAATGCTGCCATGCCTCCATCGCTCCACTCGCCGGCCTGTGGCTATCCTCGTGTGCCCCTTGCCTCTCACTGCTGCAAGGGAGCGCAGTGGGTGTGCATGCTGTGTGCATCTGAGTCAGCACGACAGCAACCTCTGCTGTGTTAGACCACGCCACCTGACTCTGCCCTCACATGCACCCTGCTACGTGTGTGGTGTGCTAGGGGGCGCAGTGGGCGTGCAATCCGTGTGGAGCGGGCACATCGGCCCTGGCGGGCAGCACCGAGTGCTTCATCGGAGACGCCACCCGCCCTGCCTCCTTCTGCACCTTCGAGCTCCCCACCGATCAGCTGCCTCGCATCCCCCACCTCAGCGAAAAAGCGGCGGATGAACAGGCAGGGCAGGAGGGGGAAGGGGTGGTAGAGGGAGAGGAGGAGGGGAAGGGGAAGAGGGGGATGGAAGGGGAAGCAGGGGAAGGGGGAGCATTGCCCCCGGGGGGGACGGTGGGTGCTGTGAGAAGCAATGAGATGGCGGCCGCAGTGGTGTTTGACCTCTCCCCCCTGTCCCGCATGCACCCCGGCCGCATGTTTGGCCCTGTGCTTGATGCCGCTGCTGCTGCTGACCCTGATGGTGATGCTGCTGGGGGGGAAGAAGTTGCAGAGGGAGGGGCGGCAGGGGGCGGTGGGCAGGGAGGGAGGGCGAGCAAGAGGGGAGGGGGCGAGGCAGCGGAGTATTTTGTGAGTGTGTGCGATCGGGACAGCGGCAACGACACGTGCTACGACTACTCGGGGCGGTCCCTCAACACATATGCATGCAAGGTATAAGGGTACGCCACCCAACATGCTGCTCTCATGTGTTAGTGCTGCTCCTGACTCTCTGCCTCACTGCATCACTTCACCTCCTCCCCTACTCTCCATCCTGCTCTCCATCCTCCCCATCTCCCCCACTCTCTCCTCCCCTCCCTCCAACACCCCCGCCGCTCATCCAATCACCCCACCCCCGTTCGCCCCATGCCGAATCCCCACCGCACCCCACCCCATGCAGGTGGATCCACGGGAGGCCACAAGCGGAGCACGGCCGGGGCATAATCTAGGCAGTGCAGTGGCTGTCTATCCGCTGGCAGCCGTGCATGCAGGGCTGTACCGGCGCGGGCTGGTGATGGCGTTCACAGGGGACGAGTGCCCGCAGACCAACATGCCTAGGGAGACCAACCTCACCTTCATATGCGACCCCGCTGCTGGTGTGTGGAGTGGGGGGGAGTGAGTGAGAGGGGTGTGGTTTGCGAGAGAATGTGCGCGCATGGTGCCGAGTAGACAAGCACTAGAGCAATGTGTGTTCATTTCACACACCACACCCACCTATCCGCCATTCATCATCCGCCACCATCCACCCTCCATTTTCCACCAACCATCGTTCCAACCCCCTCAGGCCATGGGCAGCCAGAGGCATGGACCAAGGAAGGGCAGATGGCAGCACTCAACCCGGTGCTGGGGTACCCGCAGTACAGCCAACGGGGGGGAGCGGTGCAGCGCATCGAGCACAGCGACTGCTCGTTCAGCCTCGTGTGGTACTCGCTGTTTGCGTGCCCGCTGTGCTCCCATGAGGACTATGAGCGCGTGGAGACGGCTGAGTGCATGGACGAGACAAGGGCCACCTTCAAGTGGAAATTGCCCCGGGTATGCATGCATGCATGAGGCTGTGGCTGTTGACTGCATGGCTTTTGACCGGGTCACTAACATTCTGCCACAGTGTTCTGCGCCCAGAGGTGTTCCTTTGTGCTGCATTTTCATCCTCCAGTTACCTCCAATGTGCTCGTCAATTCATCACGGTTTCTCCCCTCAACGCCCTTCCAACTCTTCTCTCCCTTTTTCATGCCGCACCTCCCATTCCTTCCCTCATCCCCCCAGGTGTGCCAGCTGAACCCGTTCAACCCGCTACCCCAAGACGAGCCGTGTGAGCCGTGCAAGCCAGACGACATCATCCGCTCGCAGGGCGACTGTGCTGACGCCAACGGCAACCACAACATCACCTACTCATGGCGCCAGCCGCACCACTGCAGCCCCACTCTCCCCGGCGCTGCCTCCCTGCCGGCACCGGAGCTGGTGGGGCCGTGTGAGCAGCGGTGGGTGTACGTGCCTTCGGAGGCGCTATCTCCCATGTGGATTGCACTGTTTGTGGGCCTGACCGTGCTCATTGTGGGATTTGGATATCTCTCGCTTGTCACGTGGCTCCGCAGCCGTCGATTGCGGCAGATGTATCAACGGCTGGTGGAGGCTGAGGTGCAGATGGAGGGGGATATGGGTGAATTGCATGCGGATGGGGATGAGGATGCGGAAGACATTCGGCTCACTAGTGACGACTCATAGGGAAATCAGCAATTGAGACATTTTTGTTTATTTATGAAGGACAAACTCTTTATCCACATGAGTGTAATTAATTGTTACATTAAGAAAGTATTCAGCGTAAGCCTGATTATGTAGTTGGGCGTAGAGATGCTGAACAACTACTATTAACTTTGTCCTCGTTACTACGGTATGCTCCTATCATGAGACAAATTCCATGACAATCAACCTCAGCTCGCGCACTACGGCTTGTGTTGCTTCCATGCGAGAAAGTCCCGCTTCCTTAGACCACCACAATCACCCACGCAGTTCTCCGTGCGGCCGCGTTTGGCGGGCCGGCAGGCAGGAAGACAGGTATGGGGGTGGGCGACGCGTTGGTGATCCAGACAGCGCTCAGCGTAACACTCGCGTCGGCGGCGCGGCGAGCCGGATGGATCAGGTGAGGCCGGCGAGACCGCGCTCCGCAATGTCTGGGCAGCGCGCGCGGGAAGGGGATGGGTTCAACCGCAGGCGACGGAGAGTTGGGGCGGAGGACGAGCTGCGGGCAGCGCGGTGGCCTGCGCGTGCATGCTGCCCCGCCGTGCTGAGGCGGAGCTACCATCGCGCCACCGCGTTCCCAGCGACGAGGCGTAGATGGTTGGGCACTGCCTGGGGGCTTGCCTCGGGCTGCTGGCAGGCCGCGCACTGTGCTCACCACCCTCGTCGCCTCTCATACCCTCCACACCGCTCCTTCTTCCCCTCCCCTTTCTCCTTCCAATCCCGTGTGGCGGGATGCGGCATGTGCTGGCAGCTACCACCCGGAGAGGATAGGCAACGAGAACGTGCGCAAGGCGGTGGACGTGGCGCTGTGGGTGGGCGACGGCATCACCGCTCTGGTGAGCGCAAAGCTGATGGGGGCGGTGAGTGCACTGGGAGTACCCGTACCGTATGTGCATGCAGGTTTGCAGGCTGCGGTATTGGCCAGCCTCTCCTCTTCCTCTTCCACATCACCACACCAAGCATGCAACTCCCCTCTGTCAACCTCTTTCACTCGTGCCCTCTCTGCCACCATTTTCCCCCCCACACCACCACCACCACGATGACCCTTGGCAGGGCTGTGCAGTGATCGATGCGGTGAAGAAGATGGCTGGGCGCGGAGGAAACAGGCTGGGACGCCGGTGACGGGGATGCAGATAGGGAAAGGGATAGGATGGCATGAGGATGGCATGGGATGGTGCTGAATGCATGAGGCCAGTAGGCATCAGCTCACTAGGGGCTGTTGTTAGGACATGTTCAAGATAAGAGTGAGAACATGCATCAGGGGATGGCCTTCTGTCTAGTCTAATGCCTAACCTTTTGTACATTTACAGTAATAAAAAGCACGGCAGCCTGAAAAGCGACAGCTAAACGTTCTCTGATCTGGCAGCAATGACCAGCTCTCCTCCACTGTGTTCGTGGTGCCTCTTGTCAAGTGATACCTTCTGTAGGCCGCACACATCCCTCACTGCCTCCTCACTGCACACTCCCTCACTCTCTCTTCCACTGCACGCACAGCCATTTGTCAAACAGCCCCCCTCCACCCTCTCCACTGCCCCCCTCTCCCTCACTCCCTTCCTTCAAGCGTTCTTTCGCCTCCCCTTCTCCGCACATCTCCACTTCCCCTCCACCCTCAACCAAATTCTTCTCCTGCCCTCCGTCCCCCTTCTCTCCCTGTCCCCCTGCGCGGTGCGCCTTGGGGAAGTGCCAGGCGCCGTCGCTTGACTCCTGGGGGGAATAGCAGCGCGCATATGGGTGGCACAGGGCACGGGAGAGGCAGATGAGGGGAATGCACGGATGGGAGGACGGTGCAGTTGCGAGGTATGGGATGGTTGGGAATGGTTAAGGTGGTTGAGGGGTGGGATGGGATGGGCGGAATGGGAGGTACGGGATGATGGGGGAGATACAGAGGGCAACCCATTGAGCGGTGCGGCCCGTGGCATGGCGACGGAACTATGAGCACTTAAGGACAGAAGGCCAAAAGGGAAGTAGTAGTGGCAAGGGAAGGGGATCGAGAGGGGGTGTGACCTCGAGTGAGGTGGAGGAGGGAGGAGTGGGTGTGACGGTCTGACCTGGATGACGAAGGAGAAGTTGGGTGGCATGCGCAGCACTGGGCCTCGCGGTGTCATGGTGAACCGCACCTGCCATGCCATGCCATGCCATGCCATGCATGCGTTACACACCACGCCACAATGAAAGCCCATGAGCATCCAAGTGGAGTGAAAACACATGAATGTCACATATGCTAGGAGCCGAACACACAACAGTCACCATGGTGGTGTCCCCATGGCAGCCCACCACCTGGTCTCGCTACTCAACCACCTCCCTCTTTCACCTCCCATCCACCCGCCACCCACCCCCCCATCCAGCCGTGTCCCCTCACCTGGTGGCGCTCCTTCCAGCGCGAGAAGTAGTCAGCGCTGAGCGTCTGGAAGATGTGGTCGCGCATTTCATCGTTGCTCACCAGCAGACACCGCATCGATATCGCCGCGTACAGCCAGTACCTGCCACGCGGACAGAGGAGGAAGGGGGGAAAGGGAAGGGAGGCGGGTGGCATGGGGCATGTGGCGTGGATGAGGCTGGCTCAGGGTGAGGCAGAGGTGGAGCTGCCGCCATGACGTGAGAGCAGTGGGAGCAAACAGGAACAACAAGGGCAACAGGCACATGGATTTGCACTGCAGATCAGCAGAGCAGCGTACCAGTCATCATTGGCGCCAGTGGGGGTGGTGAAGAGGCAGTGCTGCTGCTCGTACTGTGCCAGGCACTGCTGTGCAAACGGCTCTGCTGCCGGCCCGCCCTTCACCCGCTTGTGATGCACCACCAGCAGCGGCAGCCTCGGGGCCGCCGACGCCGAACCTGCCTCCGAACCTCCACCCGAGCCTGCAGGCCCCAGGGCGGCGACAGCCTTGGCGATGGAGTGGAGCTGCCAGAAGTTAAAGCCCCCCTGGGCGAAGTTCTGGTTGTACAGCCCCACGTTGGCCGCGTCCACCACGGCAGGGAACGGCCCGTGCCGTGCCAGCCACGCCTTGAACGCCGCCAGCTCGCGCGCTTTGCCCCTCGCCTCCACCAGTGCGTCCACGGCGCGCGCAAAGCGCTCCGTCTCGGCGTCGTCCAGATCGATGGTGGCGAGACGGGCGCTGCACCCAGAGCACGTGCCCCCCTCGTCCACCTGCACGTCCTGTACCTGCCACGAACCCCCCTGCGTTTCCCCTGCACCAGCCCCTGCGGCGTCCCCCCTGTGCATGGCCCACCCCAGTCCGTGCCATCCCCCCCCGTTCACTGCCATTGCCCGCTCCGCCTCCTCCTGTGTCCACCCCTTCCGCCCTTCCTCTGCCCCTCCCCCCTGCGCCTCCCTCTCCCCCTCGCTCTCCGCCTCCTTGCTACCCGCCTCCCCTGCCCCCTCCGCCCTCTTCCCCCCCTCGCCCTCCGCGCCCCCCTGCCTAGCACGTTCAGACTCAAACCACGCCCTCAGCGTCCCAATCACGTCCTCGGGCAGCCCGCGCGCAACTTTCCGCATGCGGTGAATGTTTTTGTACACGCTGCCCGGGCTGCCCGCGCGCACGCTCACGTCCAGCAGGGCGGCGACCTGTTCGGGCAGCGCGGCCAGCCCGCGGGCAGCCATGTGTTGAAAAACCTCCTCCGCGCCGCGCAGGTCCCCTTGGCGGCAGAAGGCGAGCAGCGCGGGGTCGTACGAGCGGTGGCGCGGGGGGACGCCCTGCTCCGCCATGTCGCGCACCACGCGGAACGCCATGGGCGCGTCGCCGCGCGCGGAGGCCAGGCGCGCGAGCGCGGTGAAGGTGGCCTCGTTAAGCGGAACGCCTCTCCGCTGCATGTCCGCCCACACGTCCATTCCGCGCGCCCCTGCCACCGCCTTCGCCTCCTCCTTGCTCCACTTCTCCCCCCCTTCCTCTCCCCCTCCTGCCGCGCTGCTGTCTCCACCACCTGCCCCGGCACCATTCTCCCCCTCCTTCTCCTTTCCGCCCTCCTTCCCCTTCCCCCCCCGCGGGACGGACCCCACCTGCCCCGAGGAGGCGACGAGCGCGCAGAGGTAGAGCGCGATGTTGAACTCGTACGTCTTGAACGCGGGCCCCGTGCCCGCCACGTGCGCGTCGAACAGCGCCAGCGCCGTGCGCAGGTCGCCGTGCTTGCTGCACTGGTTCAACAGCCGCTTCGCCTCCTCCTCCGCCGTGTACCCGCGCTTGCGCTTCGGCATTTCGCCCTTGCCGCTGCTGCCGCCGCTGCGATCCTTGGAGGTAGGCCGCACTGCTGCCGCACTGGCAGCGCCGGTGGTGGCCTGCTGTCGGCTGCTGTTCCCGCGCTCGCTGCTGCTTCGCTGCCCGCTACCGCGGCTTACCTCACTATTGCCGGCCTCCCTACCTCTGCCGCCGCCCACCCCCTTTCCGCTCCCCGCGCTCGCCTCCCTGCCTCTACCGCCAACCGCAATGCTGCCTGCCCTTGCTGCTGCGCTCGATGGTTCCGCCGTTAAATCGTCCGCCCGAGATCCTACCAGCCCCGCGCGCGTCCGCCAAGCCCCTCTCTCTCTCCCCCTATCCTGAGCTGCGCGCCCCTCCCCCCGATCTCCCTCCCTCCGCTGACCGCTGCTCCCCCTGGTAGTGCTGAGGTACGCGGAGCCTGACAGGGGGCGCGCGTGGCGATGGGCGCACGCGAACGACGGGCGGCGGGGGGAAGTGGTGCGGGGGAGAAGAATCGCGCGGAGAGCGGGGAGGAGGCGGACGAGGGAATGCGGCGAATGGCACGGCGAAGCGACGCGCGCAAGGCGGAGGGCGGGTCGGGAGCAGCGGGCGAGTGAGGCCATGTAATGGGGGGGGGAATTCAGCGCGCTAGGGAATGCGCCAGCGCCTGGATGACTTGGGCTGGGAGGTTTTGGGGAGAGGACATGGACGGGTTGGGGGGTTAGCGAAAGCTCGAAATGATGTCGCACGAGCTCAAGTGTTACGTAGGAGAACGTGATTGCGAATGTTGCATTCCACATACGAAACGATTCCTTTTTGCAGATTGTGTTTTACTTGCATAGCAGGAGGTGGCGAATGCGCAGCGTGGTTGGCAGACCAAATGTATCTCAACAATCGTCTCCGCCGTCACTCGACTAGTCGGTTCTCTTGCGTCCTCCGCGCTCCACATGCCTCCCTCTCAGCCCCCCCGCGTGCCGACTGGCGGGCGCCCTCCCCCACCACGGAGGGGGGGCGCGCATGGGGGGAACGGCGGAGCGACGAAGAAGCGCGGGAGGGAGAACGAGACGGGGAAGGGGGAGGAGGCGGGAGGCGGGGATGCGGCGCGAATTTACGCGGAAGTGAACAGTGGCGCGCAGCAGGACGTCATGCGCGCAGTGTGCCCCGCCGATAACATGGTGAGATGACGTGTGAGTCGACTCACCACATGACCTCCGCCCCACCCTTCGTCGCGCCTCCTTGACTCGACGCTCATGCGCCGCTCCTTCCCCTGCTCCGCTTCCGCTCCGCGACTTCTCTCACCATCCGCACTGCCCCCTCACTCCGCGCGCGCCCCGTCCCCCGCATTCCAGGCGGCACCCGCGCGAGGCAGCGGCGGTGGCGCATCGAGCGACCCGCTGGCGGGCGTGGAGGCGCGCATCGGCGCGCTGCTCGCGTCGGGCGGGCGCAAGGTGGGCGGCGGTGGCGGCAGCAGCTACAGTGTTCCGCGTATGGAGGTGCTGCTGGAGGTGCCGGGGGGGAAGAAGCGTGCGGGGAAGGACGTGGTGAGGCGCGGGGGGAGTGTGGCAGAGGCAGGGGGACGGGACGCGGGGAAGCGGAGCAGGCAGAGGAGCAGAGCGGGGGGAGTGGAGCGGCTGGTGTGGGAGCTGAAGGCGCGCCCTGAGCTGTGCAGGTGGGGGGGAGAAGGTTGGATAAGCGAGGGGGGGGGGGAGGGGGAAAAGGGACAGCAGAGACGGGGGGACAGGGGGTGATGGAGGAAGGGCAGCGTTGCCATGTCCAGTGCCGTTTGTGTGCGCACCATGCATGTCCCTGCCCTCTCCCCTTCCTCACTTCGCCCAAACCCACCCCTCCTCCCCTCCGCCCTGTTCCTCAGCTTCACCCGCATGGCGCCCCTGGCAGCAGCATGGAGCGACTATGCTGCTGCGCTCTGCCGCTCTGCCGCTGCACAAACACCAACGCCCGGCCCGCCGGCTGCCTCCGCCTCTGAGTGAGTGCGTATGCGGGCTGGCTCCCTTCCGGTGCATTCATTGCCCAACTCCCTCCCTCTCTTCCGTATTACCCTCTTCTGCTTCCCGTTGCGCTTGTCTGCTCCCATTTTGCCTGCTTCTCGCACCTCCCCGCACCACACTCCCACCCATCAACACACCCAATTGCCCTCCACTTGCATGCACTGACTGCTGTGCCTCCACTTGCATGCACTGACTGCTGTGCCTCCACTTGCATGCACTGACTGCTGTGCCTCCACTTGCATGCACTGACTGCTGTGCCCCTCTCCCCCGCTCCCCCGCATCCCTAGGCTCTTCTTCTTTTCATCCCCCTCTGTTCAATCTCCCCATGTCCTCCCATTCGATTCCCCCCCATATCCTCCCTGCTGCAGGCGTATGGGTGCATGGGTGGCAGCGATGGACCTCCACGGCGCCATGCTCACAGGTGAGGGAATGGGGTGGGGCGGGTGGGTGAAGTGGAGGGGCAGTCAGTGGAAAGGTCGCCTCTGTGTGCTGCACAGGGGTGGGCTGCAGCAAACGCATGGCGGAGAAATGACCGCCCACTCTTCCATTCTCTCCTGCATGTCACTGCTGCCAGGAGCGCGGCGCCCATAGTTGCATCTCCCTTTCTCCTCTCACTTGCATCCCTCCCCTCTGCTCGCCCTCCCAGTGGCACGTGCAGCCTCCTCAGGCCATGTGGGGGTGGGCGGCATGGTGCTGGCAGAGTCCACGTCAGCATTCCACCTCCTCACAAACGATGATCGCCTCAAAGGTACATGCTCTCCACATGTCCGTGCCATGCCATGCCCTGCCGTGCCATGCCATGCCCTGCCGTGCCATGCCATGCCGTGCCATGCCATCTCGTGCCATGCAATGCCATGCCATGCAACTTAATGTGATGTTTCATTATATGCCACCCATGCTTCTCCCTCGCCCTCCTTGAAATGCCCCAGTAATACTCCAACCCCCTCATTACCGCCCCATGCTCCCCATGCTCCCCATCCCACCCCCCAGTCATCCCTAAGCAGGGTGCCGAGTTTCGTCTGCATCTGCCGCCTCTGCTGCTGCAGTCAGCAGCGCCAAGGCAAGCAGCGGGAGCACCCCCACCGCAAGCACAACAGCGCGTGGTCACACTGCTGGGGGACCTCATGCGCACTCGCCCTCGCATGCGCTATGGGGACGCCCTTTGATGCCACCTACACACCTGAGCCTGCCTCCATGGTGCAACCGGCACAGACACCCACAATACTCTATGAAACAATAAGCCCTTTGGGAGACGGTTATGCTCACAACCCTTGAATGCAGCACAGTGATGCTCGTTGCTGGCAGGAGTGGGGTTAGCTGAACTGTTCAGCCAGCACGTCTCCACAAGCTGACACTCAGGGGTTACGGCTTCGGCAATTACGGTAGCTTTACTGTTCAGCCAACAGCTGACACTCAGGCGGTACGGCTTCGGCAAGTAGCTTTAGGCAATGAGCCTTGGGAAATTCTACGGCTTGCCCAGATGGTTAGTGTGCAATAAAATTAAAAAAGTTTTAGGTGGCTTCATATTAGCTTAGCACTCGTGAGGCGATGTACGGTACTTGTTTTGAACTTTTGATGAAAACTTCGAAGTGTAGACACTCATTAACGAGTAATCAACGTTATGTCTCTCCACCCACCAACCAACGTGCGTTTCGCACCACTGGAAGGTGCAGAGGTTGCACCTTGCGCGAGTGGCTGGTGGCAGTGGCTGTGATCAACACTCGCTAGTCACGACGAGCCTCTTGAATTGGCACAATAGGCTCCAAAGCTAGCCTGCTCGCTCAAGAGTTCGACCTCGTTCTGTGTTACCAGATCCGGAATTGAGTGCCAGCACCACCCGCTCACTGCTCACCATACACCCGCTCTCGGCCTCGCCTGACGCGCGCGCACGCGGCCACTGGCGCAAGCGCATCGCCTTCCTCTCAGATCCTCCCGCCGTCGCGCACGCCGCTCACAATGCCTCGACCGGCGAGCCCGCGCCGTATTGGTGCATAACGCAGAGAACAGCCAAACACCATAATTCACTAGCGGAGCGCGCCGTTCCGCGAACAGCGCGCCGCGGGGCAGGTTAGGCCGCGAAAGATTGGGGATCTTGTAGAGGAGTCACTGCCCCGGTGTAGATCGGTGCTGGGTGGTGGAGGATCGAGAGAGAGGGGCATAGAGAACTGGAAGGGAAGAGACATAGAATAAAAGGTAGAGGGAGGGAGAGGAGGGGCGGGCGAGAAAGGGAGGGAGGAATTGCGGCGACAAAGGCGTGGAAGGGGGAGGAGGAGGCGGAGTAGCGAGGCGGGAGGCAGCGAGTCGAAGGCGATAGCTGAAATCCGGTGGTGGTGGTGGTGGTAGCGAGACGCGGCCGCAATGAACTACAAGGGGCTCCTCGTCGCCGTCTTCTACGGTGCGTCAAGCCGCGTAGGGCGGGCCAGCAGCAGTCGCAAAGAGGCTGCGCTCCGCTCTGCCATGCCCTGCAACCTTGGTGCCTTCCCCCCTCTGTGCGTGCCCACTCCTTGCCCCTCGATCCCCCCCACCCTCCCCTCTTACTTCCTCAGTTCACCCCTCCCACTCCTCTCACTCACCCCTCCCACTCCCCTCACTCACCTCTCTCTATCCCCGCAATCCCCCCTCCCTCCCCCCCCGCTAGGCGGCATGTCGGTGGCGGCGGTGTTTGTGAACAAGGCGATATTCCGCGTGTACCGCTTCACCTTCCCCTACACGCTCGTCTTCTTCCAGACGCTCTTCACGCTGCTGCTGCTCGCCGCCATGCGCCTCTCCCGCGCCATCCGCCTCGCCCCCTTCCGCCTCTCCGTCCTGCGCCGGGTACACCCTCTGCCCCCTGCCCACAGCCCTTGCCCACAGGCGGCCCTTGCCCACGGGCGGCCCTTGCCCACGGGCGGCCCATGGGCATGGGCCGGGTGTTCGGGGTTCTGGGCAACAGAGGGAGATGTGAGAGGGTGCAGAGGGAAGGGGGAGTAGAGGGGAGGAAGAGTTGAAGAGGGAAGGGAGTGGATGAAAGAGGGAGTGGATGGGGATGAGAGCGGGGGGAATGGATGGAGGTTTGAGTGTGGTCTGCTGCACCACTAGCGGTCGTGAGGCTGCCCTGCCCTGCCATGTCACCACGTCACAGTCCCACGCCCCATCTCTCACCTCACCCCCTCACACCATACCCCCCCTCCCTCTTTCCCCCATCCCTGCAGGTGGCGCTGCTGTCGTTCGCCTTTCTGCTGAAGCTGCTCCTGGACATGGCAGCCCTCTCCCGGGTGAACATCCCGATGTACGGGGTGCTCAAGTCCGCCACCACGCCCTTCGTGCTGCTCCTCGACTACCTGCTGCGCGCCAAGCGCGCCTCCCTGCGCGTGCAGCTCTCCGTGTACATGACCGCGCTGGGGGGCGTCATAGCGGGCGCGGGCGACCTGACCTTCGACCTGCCGGGGTACGTGCTCGCGCTGTCATCGGCACTGGCGACAGCGGCGTACGTGGTGATAGTGGGGAAGCTGGGCGAGGAGCTGCAGCTGGACTCGTTCACGCTGCTGCTGTACAACAACTGCTGGTCGCTGCCCTTCTCCTTCCTGCTGCTCGCCCTCAACGGCGAGCTGCCCGCTGTGCAGCGAGTGCTGCAGTCACGCGACGCCATGTTCCTCACGTGCTTCCTGCTGTCGTGCGCGTCTGCGTTTGTGCTCAACCTCGCCACGTACCTCTGCACGCTCGTCAACGACAGCCTCACCACCAGCATCGTCGGTCAGTGCCCCGCCCCCTCGCCCGCCCTCCCTGCTCTGCGTGCCTACTCCGGACTCTTGCCACAATTGTTCCTACCATGGAGAGCCATGAATGAGCATTTGCACGTCTTGCAGTGCTGCGTCTCACCTCACCCCATATCTCTCGCCCCACCCCCTGCCTGCATGCATGCAGGGCGCACCAAGTCCATCCTGCAGGGCCTGGGCGGCCTCTTTGCCTTCGGTGATGTGCTCGTGAGTGCCCTGCTGCCCCGCCCCATGCCTCTGCCTTCCTGCTCTGTGCCACCTCCAACCCCCAGTTCCCACGCCCCTGCATGCACCTACCTTATCTCATCTCATGCCCCACTTGCTGCATCGCTTCCACCCACCACTGCCTTCTGCCCTCCACACACTGCACTTCTCTTCCCCCTCCTCTCCCAACCCTCTTCCACCTCCCCCTCTCCCCTCTCCACCTCCCCCGCAACTCCCCATGCCACCTGCAGATGAGCGTGACGAACGTGGTGGGGCTGCTGGTGAACAGTGCGGGCATCGGGTGGTACGCGGTGGAGAAGTACCTGGAGGCGCGGCGCCGCTCACACCACATACTCTCCCCGGGGCATGCCCGCGATGGCAAGGCCACCATCACCCGCGACGGCTCCCAGGTGCTCTGCCCTGCAGGGGGGAATGGGGGGAGGGGAGGGGTGGGGAGGGAGAAAGGGTATGGTGCAGGGAGGTGGGGTGTGGTTTGTAGGTTGGCTGTGGTGGTAGGGATGGTGGTGTGTTGTCAGCGTGGGCAGGTTGCCTCACAGTCTCCTCTGTTCCAAACGCACTCACCCTCACCTCCCTCTGTATATTCCGTGTCCCTCCTCTCCAACCCCTGTGTGCATCCACTATCACCATCCCCATCAGCTATCATTGGTGTTCAACGAGGTGAAGACAGAAGATGCCGACCAACCAGACCCGCGCAACGGCTCTGTGTGAGGGCTGCACTGCACTGCACCCACCCAACCAACCACCCACCCTGTCCTTGCCGCCACCTTCCTGCCAAACGTTCCACTGAACGTGATTATGAAGCCCCACCTTGCCTTGTGCATCGCCTATATATCTGCTGTTGGATCGGGCCTTGTTAAATTGCCTAAGGGCCCTCTTGTGCAGGCTAAATTGCAGGTCACTATTCATCCAACTTAGAATAATGAAAAAGAGAAATACATTCTAGCACCTGTCTGTGTCTACAATCCTATGGCAATGGAATGCTGTGGTGGGCCAAGCCACAAAGCCTTGTGTACACAGCACAGCAGCTCCAGACATCCATACTCTGGCTCACGCCTTCCCACGCTTGCTCCTCTTTCTCGCCTCTGCACCACCCTCCACACCACCCGCCCTCTTGCCAGCACGCAGTGGTGCTGTGGAGTGGGGTGAGAGGTCGGAGAGGGCAAGGCATGTGAGGCGCGCGTTGGTGAGCACCTGGGAGAGGCATCCAGGGGGGAGTGCGGTGGGTGCGGTGGGTGCAGTGGCAGGTGTGTGTGTGGACGAGGAGAGGGAGCGCAGGTCCCACAGGCGGATGCACCCATCCGATGCTGCTGATACAATCACATACTCATTCCATCGCGCTGCTGCTGCTGCATCACCACTGCCGCCTTTGTTCTCCCTCTTCATCCTTTTCCTCCCCACACCCCCTTGATCCTTGCCATGCTTACCACCTCCTTCCTCACCTTCCCCACTGTCTGCCCCTTCCTCCTCGCCCTCCCCGTCCTCCCCAACCCCACCCCCTCCCCCCTCACTGCGCCAAGCGGTCAGACCTGCCTTGGCTGCGGCAGCCAGCTCGTTCCCCTCACCCCCAACCCCCCCTGCGCCCCCTTGTCGAGCTGCCAGCGCCCCCAGCACGCCGCGGATGCGAGCGCTGTGAGCGCCCGCCACGCACACAGCGGGGTGCAGCGGTGGCTGGCGCACATCCCACACCTTCACTGCCCTCTCCTCGCCGCCCGTCACCACTGCGTGTGGCTGCAGGGGGCATAGCACAGGGCAGGTCACACCGCACAGGACTTAGGGTCATGCACGGGACATGGGGTGAAGCACAGGACATTGGTTGGGTGATAAAAAGGGAAATGGACACACCCATGCAGAGCGAGAGATGAGAAAAAGGTGACGAGACGGGTAGGGCATTACATTACAGGGAACAAGGGGGGAGGAATGAGCAGAAAGCAATGCAATGCAGCAAGGGAGAGGCAGAGCAGGGAGCAGGCTGACGGAGAGGAAGGAGAGGGCGAGGCAGGAGGCGGGGTGAGGCAGCGTGGCGGTGAGCGAGGCATCAGCAGAGCAGTGCACGGCCACGGCACCGCCCCTGAGGGCCAGCGCGTAGCAGGCAGCGTCCCCGGGCGAGTAGGTGAGGGCGAGGGGCTGGGCGGGCAGGCGCGTGCGGAAGGAGCAGCGCGCCTGCAGCAGGTTCCACAGGCGCAGCTCCGCGTCCCTCGCCACTGACAGCGCCACCCGCCCCGATGGATGCACTGCCCCCATGCACGAAGGGGGGGAAAGGAGGGACGGGGAGGAGACAGGGAGAGGCGAAGTAGGAAATGGGAGGAGGGGGAGCAAGAGGGAGCGCACATCACAACAACCACATCAACCCAAAACGAACCACAGCAACCTATAGCAACCCACAGCAGCCCCAGCAACTACCAGCACGCACCTGCGATGTCATTCACAGGCGCCTTGTGACCTTTGAGGCTTGATAGATGCCGCCACGTGGCGACCTCCCATAGGCTGATGGTGCGGTCTTCACTGCCTGCGAGCAGGTGAGTGGGGCGACTCCCACTGCCGTGCAACTGCAGGCGGTGGGACGGGTGGCGTGGCGGCACGGACGCATGACGGCACACAGTGGGGAGGCTTGGAGGCAACGAGAGGGCAGCCACGAGTGGAGGGGCGCTGCGGCTAACAATCACAGCGAGGCACGAGACGGCGGCACTCACAGCGAGGCACGAAACAGCGGCGGAGTGGTGCAGCAGCGCGCCCATGTCGGTGCGCGCGCGCAGGTCATACACGCGCACGCTGTCGTCCGCCCCCCCGCTCACCGCCACCCCCCCCGCCGCCGCCACGCACTTGATGGGCCCCGTGTGCCCCCCGTAGCAGAACTGCTGCCGCAACGCCGCCTCCCCGGCCCCCTCGCCTTGCCCCTCCTGCTTCCTCTCCTCCCCCATACCTTCTCCCCTCTCCCCTCCCTCCCCGCCGCGCGCTGCTGGTTGCGATGCGCCCAGCCTGACGGGGGGACGAGAAACGAGAGCGCAAGCGCGCGTGAGGGAGGGCGCAAGGGACTAGCAGGGATTGCGGGAAAAGGCGGGTGGAGTGGGCAAAACATGGATTGCACATGCGGGGCTTAGGCGGAAACGAATCGGCACAGGTAGGGGTGGGGCCGTTAGCTCGGGGGGACAGATAGAGAACCAGCCGCGGTTGGGGCGAAAGGCGGGGCGCGGCGTACGGGTAGGTGGGGAGGTGGAGGCGGAAGCCGAAGAGAAAGCGCTCGTACGACCCCGCGATGACCTGCAGTCCGCCGCTGCTGTTGCGATCTACATCACCTGCGGCATTCCGCATGGCTCAGGTAGACGGCCTGACAGTGAGGGCGGGGCGATTCCCGCTGTGAAGCAGTGTACAGGGCGACACGGGCTGTCGACGTAACGGATGGTGTCGAACAAGGAAACACGATATCCAAATTATCTTCTCGAAGTATTCACGAAGGACGACCCCAGACGATTCCACAAAGTATTCACGAAGGACGACTCCCGACGATTCCATGGTAACTATTTCTGTTTATGTTTTGACTCTATATCAGGCTCCAAGCTTAGCTTTAATGTAGACTGAAAAAAAAACAGTAATACAGTACAACCACGTTCAAAAACAGCCAAACGGTGCAATTTTGCACCATAAATTAAAAAAAAACATTTGAAAAGGCTGAAAAAATCATAGTATGTTCGATGGAGAAAATGTTGCTTCATTTTCTACACCTCTGCAAATCTACCCGCATTTTGGGGCTACAAACGCCCAGAACTATCGTTTTTATTTTTAAGCAAAGAGCACGTTTGTGAGTGCATGGCATGGACGGGAAAATATGTTGGAAAGTGCCTGGGAGTGAGGCAATCACGATTGGTCATGGGTACCAACGGCAAGAAGCACCCTGCTTCATTTTCTACACATGTGCAAATCATTCCGCATGTAATAAACGTCCACAATGAGTGTTTTTTCTTTGCTTTGAATAGCACATTTGTGAGTGCATAGACCTGCAACCAGGGCTGACGTTTCAAATTTAGGTACCCTGAGTTCAACCTAAATATTTCTTTTTAACCCTGAAGGCACATTTTCCAGAAAAACAGCACCCTGATTGCTCAGGGTTGAGAAGTAGTGAACTCTGAATGTTCAGGGTCGAGAATTAAAAATCAGGGTCGTAGTAACGCGCTCTTTCTTTACCGGGGACAGAAGTCTCACTCTGCATAATCGCAACATATGCGCGAAATCTGAGTCTACAGAGATTTCAGGCAGAATCTGCCTTGACCTAGCGAATCGAATCTGTGTCAGAGCACAATTATTTCGACCAATAACAGCAAACAAAATCTGACATTACAGATTCGCCCTATCTCGATGGTGGGTGTATGGGAAAGAAAATTCGACGAAACTTCGTCCTCATGAAGCGAGGGGTGGGGGGTGGGGAGGGGGATTACGCATGTGGGGGGTACTGCGATCAATCCGAAGGCGGGGTTACCGTATCAGGAGGAAATTTTCGAGAAACTTTGTCCCGATAACATCGCATTCAGGGTCCACATGCCGCGTACTCTGTATTGACAGGGTCCGTGAAAACACTTCACTGAGAGTGTACACAAAAATTCAGGGTCCGCTAAAGAAATACTCTGAATGGATCAGGGACCAAAATGTAAAAAACCTGATTTCTCAGGGACCAGAAAGTGACAAGTCTGAAATCACCCTGAAATCAGGGTAATTACCCTGATATCGTCAGCCCTGCCTGCAACTATGCTCAAAAGTGTGTTGGAGCAAAGCATAACGAGTGGTCTTAGTAACATTCGACCAAAAACTACCTGCTTCATTTTCTAAAACTGGTGCAGAGTTATCATCGTTTATGGTGCGCAAACGAAAAAAAATGTGCGTTTTTCTTTGTTTTGAAGAGCACCTGTGTGAGTGCACAGACCTGCAACAATGCTGAACAGTGCGTGGAAGAGAAGCAAGAACGAGTGATCATGGTTACCCAATATAGAGAATGCATGCTTCATTTCCTATACTGGTGCTATACAATGCTACCTCCAGGGCTAGTTTTTGGTTTTAAGCAACCCTTATCATCAGGCCGTGTTCCTACGCAGGCCCTCAGATTCACTTTGAGGCACGTAAGGGTATCAGGGTCCCTCTGGCCCTAGACCCTGATCGACAGGGTCGCCTAGGAAAAAAGCCTGAAAGTTCAGTGTTACTTTAAAAAAAAGTCTGATGCATCAGGGTCACCTATAGAAAAAGGCTGATAGTAGTGAAGCTGATTTTTTTAACTTAAAACTCTATGAAGGTCGCAAACAGCCTTCAATCTATCTATTGTAAACCAAAGCCTATCTTGCTTGCTAGCTAGCTATGCATTGCATACAGCATGACTCTGGGTCTGGGTGAGTTCAGTAATCATCATCTGATGAGGCCTGCTTGTCATCATCATCTTCTCTTCCCTTAGCCTGTCGTTGTGCCCACTCTTCCTCCTCTAGGGCCTCCTTTCCCGTGCTATCCCTGCCCTCTCCCTCTCTTTCGGGTGGTGCCGCCACATTGCCGAATGGGCGGCGCTTCTTGTAGCTGCGCCAGATCTGCACCACCTCATCGTAGTTGGGCTCGTACTCGAGTAGAGACATGGTGACGAGGTCTTCGAGGCGGGCGTCCTTCAAGCTCCCCCGCTGCCATGATTTGATAACGTTTTGGCGTGAGAAGCCGCGCTCACACTCCACTGTGCTCAGCGGCAGCACGGCGAGAGCCACCCAGAGACGCACCAGATTGGGGTAGCCAGTCGCCCAGTCGCTTGTCTTCAGCATTGCTGTTAGGCCTGCGTGGAAGCTCCGCTCGTTCTTCGGGGCACCTGCGAGGATGGGGCAGAAGGCCCGCAGCTCCTTGATCGCACGCCGCTTGTCGACCCCTGCCAAATAATGCGGAAGGGAGAGAGAGGGGGTTTTTGAAAGGCTGGCAAGTGCGTACACCATACGTTGATGAAATGTAATGACACAATAAGACGGACAGCAACAGTGCGAGAGCGGGAATACCTGGAATGATATAGTCCGTGTCCTGTGCCCTAAACAGCCTCACGAGAGACTCGAGCCACTCGAGACACTGCCTGTGGCGCTCCGCTCTCCCCAGCTCCCACTCGTCAGGCATGAACAGCCGCACTCCCACCAGGGAGTCCAGGTCCTGGAACCGTGTGCTGAGGTTTTGCATGAGCGTCTCGGCGAAGGTGGTGCAGAGATCGACGCAGGCGTCGTGGGAGCCGAGGGTCGGGTAGTCTTCGCTCGGCTTCTCGTGCAGCTCGAAGGTGTGTGTCGTGGGCCGCCCGTCCGAGTCGACTCCCTGCGCCTTCACCTCGGGATTGCCCCCCTCAGGCTCGTGCTTCTTGATGAACGGGGAGAGGCGCGCGCTCACCCCGCCTCCAAAGTCGTCACCACAGTCGACGTAGCGGGACTCTAGGAATGAAATCGACCGGCGGATCTGCCCGTGGACACTTGCAATGTCCAACTGTTAGGGGGTCAACGGGGCGAACAAAGGATGGCGAGAAGGCCAAATCAGTGCAAAGCAGATTCTGCTTAAGCATTACATCAAACAGTGACTCACAAGCCGAAACAAGGCACACAATCCAGCAACGCTAGTAACCAAACTCACCTCACGCTGCTGGAATGCCCTGTTCAGCACATTGAGCTGCTCGAGGACGTCTGCAAGGAAGTATAGCAGAAAGTGAAACCTGTAGCTCGTGGCGAGCTCGTAGAGGGTGCTGTCCCACTCATACAGCATCACGATCAACGCGGGGAAGACCTCTACCGCGCGCAGAATGGCGTCACCGCGGGAGAGCCAGCGGACGTCGTGGATCCCTTGTAGCTCCAGGTTTGTTTTCGTGAGCACCTCCTGCAGGCCAATGAAGCGTTGATGCCACGGGCCAGAACGCCCCAAATGCTCTGCCACTTGGCGGAGCAGGGAGTCCACCATGCCGAACTCGGGGAGTTGTTCAGCGGCGTCCTTTGCTGCGAGGGCCTCCCTGCATGCACACCAGCATTAAATACGGCTCAAGGAGGGGTTAGCAGGGGATGCAGCAGGGACTGTATGGAAGCAGTAAACAGAAGATGAAAACTGACCTGTGGGCGATGCAGTGGCTCGAAACAAGATGCGGGATGCGGAGGCGAAGTCGAGCGACAAGGCCGTTGTGTTTCCCCATCATCACACTCGCTCCGTCAGTGCTTATGCCGGATATCCTCGCCAGTTCAATGCATAGGGCCTGCAGGTGGGACAAGAGCACTGAGAGGAGAGAGGCTGCATCGCCCTTCTCCACGGTCAGCAGGGCAAGGAACTCAGTCACGGGACGATTTTCACGGATGAATGTCACGAAAACAATCATATGCTTTCCCCGACACCTATCCGTGCTTTCGTCGCACGTGACGCCAATGTATGGGCTGCTGAGGATGTGCTGCAGTTGCGTTGTGTGCAACCATGTGGCCATCGACTGTGTCAGCTGTCCGAAGCCGTAGCTGCAGCGCATGTCAAACAACACAACGTCAGATAATTCGGTTGATTTTCACAAACACGGTTGCAGTTAGATAAATTCAACACTCACGTAGTATAATAGGTTCCGTAGCCTTTTGCTGGGAACCCGGGCACCTTGAGTCGCGCGAGGTAGCGCACAAGATGCACCCATAACTCTATGGGTGCATCTTGCTTGGTCACGAAGAGCAAGGAGTCGAGGAGCTTGACGACCCGCTCCTTCTCCGTGTCGCGAGCGAGATTGTCGCCGTTGATCCGTGGCTGCGTAGCGGCGTCGTCGAGAAGCTTCTGCTGGTGTTTCAACGCCTCCTTGTGCTTGGTAGTTGCCGCATGCCGTTTGAACGCCTGCGTCTGAACGTCTGTGGCGCCCTTTCCGCCTCTCCCACACGGTCCAGCATAGCCTGCGTGCACCGTACAGATGCTGCACTTGAAAGCGGGGAAACAGTCAGATTTTTTTAGCAGAATAAGCCAAGAAAACCGCTCGAGCCACTCGCTTTTGTACTTATACAGAGCCTCCGCGTAGGTTGCGTCTGGCCCAGCCAGTTTAGAAGGCCCAGATGTTGAGGGCGACGCCTGCGTGCCTGCGGTCGAGGGCGTCGACAGTTGGCCGGCTGGCGAAGCCGGTATTGCACCAGCGGGACCTCCCGTCTTGGGCCACGGCAGCGTTGACTGCGTGTACCTGGCGGACTTCTTAGCCACTGGCACCGCCGCGATTTCTTCACCTGAAGGGTTGGAGCTGTCTTGCTCCAACACGGGCGCAGTAGGGGAGGGACACAGAGGCTCGTCGATGGGTTCAAATGAAACATCGACGGTCGGCGCGACTG